TAGAGCAAGGCGCCAGGGGTTGTTCCCGACGGTGGAAGAGATCATCAGATCTCACTGGACAGCTACCGCATGCCTCAAGCTGGGCAGCCCCCAGCCAATAAGGTGCTGTCCCGCCACAGCTTGCTTTCCCCATTGGGTGCACGGGGATGAGGAGAAGTCCAAACAGCAGGCTGGGAACCTTCGCACCAGACAAGACAAAGAAACAAAAGAGACCAACTCTAAAACTGGGAACTTGGAACGTCCGCACTATGATGACAGGACTCGCTGCTAACCTCAAGGACATCATCAACACCAGGAAGACTGCCATCATTAATAATGAGCTGAAGAGACTGGGAGTGGATTTTGCCCCTCTCCGGGAAACACGGTTGGCTGACACAGGCACACTGAGAGAGAAGGACTAAATGTTCTACTGGCAGGGAAAGGGCAGTGACGAACACAGGGAACAGGGAGTAGGCTTCGCAGTGAAGAAAACCTTGCTGAAGATGGTGGCACTGGGCAGTAATGGCTCTGCACGACTCCTCGCCCTCCGCCTCAACACCACTCAAGGCCAAGTCACCCTTGTCAGTGTCTATGCCCTAACACTGACAGCCACACCAGAGGCAAAAGACGAGTTCTACGAGAATCTCGCAACAACTGTCAGGATCATTCCCAACTCTGACAACTCAATGTCCTTGGAGACTTCAATGCCAGAGTGGGTGCTGACCACGACTCCTAGCCCTCCTGTCTTGGACCATTTGGCTTTGGCAGAATGAACGACAATGGACAGCAGCTGCTCGAGTTCTGAACCTATCACGATCTGTGCATCACAAACTTGTTTTTCAAGACCAAGCCCCAACAGAAGGTTTCCTGGAGACATCCGCGCTCAAAGCACTGGCACCAGCTGGACTTGATCCTGACCAGGCGCACCCCACTGAAGAACGTGCTAATCACCCGTTCGTTCGAGAGTGCAGATTGCGACACAGACCATTCTTTGCTGCGTTGCAAGGTCAAGCTGTAGCTGAAGAAATTCCATCGTGCTAGACAGCCTGGAAAGGCACGGATTGATACCAGCAAGATGGCCCAACCAGAACTTGTGGAGCAGTTTGCCTCCACCTTTGAAAAGGAACTTGGTGTAACACAAGAAGGAGAATCTGCAAAGCAGATGTGAGAAGAGCTGCGAAACACCATCCACCGCACAGCCTTGGCTACCTTTGGGCGGATCACCTCGAAGTCACAGGACTGGTTTGATGCATAGTTGACCGAGATGACCCCCGTCATTGAAGCCAAGCGTTTAGCACTTGCTGAGTACAAGAAGTACCCAAACAAGAAGAATCTACAGATTCTCAGGGTTGCGAGAAGCAAAGTTCAGAAGACTTCTCGGCGCTGTGTCAAGGAGTACTGGACTCAGCTCAGCCAAGACATTCAAACCGCTGCCATAACAGGGGACATCCATGGTATGTAAAATGGCATCAAGAAAGCATTTGGTCCGGCTCAGAGCAAGACTGCCCCCCTCAAATCCTCCACTGGGAAGACGATCACAGAAAAGAACAAGCAGATGGAGAGATGGGCGGAACACTACTCCGACCTCTATTCTAGACAGAACACTGTGACACCGTCAGCCCTTGATGCCATCGACTGCCTGCCATCTATGGACGAACTTGACGCCGAGCCAATCATTGACGAACTCAGCAAGGCTATTGATAGCCTGGCTACTGGCAAGGCACCCGGCAGCGACGGCATACCCCCCGACCTAATTAAGCACTGCAAGACCGCCCTACTGCTGCCATTGCATGGCGTCCTCTGCCAGTGCTGGAAGGAAGGTGCCGCACCACAGGACATGAGGGACACTAAGATCATCACACTCTACAAAAACAAAGGGGAGAGAAGCAACTGCAACAACTACAGGGGCATCTCCCTCCTCAGCGTCGTTGGTAAAGTCTATGCACGAGTTGTTCTCGTCCGTTTACAGAAGCTTGCCGAGCGTGTCTACCCCAAGTCCCAGTGTGGTTTCCGCACTGAGCGATCAACGGTAGACATGATATTCCCATCCGCCAACTCCAGGAGAAATGTAGAGAACAGAACATGCCCTCGTACATCGCCTTCATCGACCTCACCAAAGCATTCGATCTGGTCAGCAGAGAGGGCCTTTTCAAGATCCTGCCAAAGATAGGATGCCCACCAAAGTTTGCAAGCCTCATTGAATAGTTTCACACCAACATGCAGGGGATAGTGCAGCACGATGGCAATGTCTCAGAACCATTCAACACATGTAGCAGAGTGAAACAGGGCTGTGCACTTGCGCCAACCCTCTTTGGGATTTTCTTTGCTATGCTCCTGAGGCATGCCTTCAGCACAGCAACAGAGGGAATCTACCTGCGCACAAGATCTGATGACAGACTTTTCAACCTCGCCCACCTGAAAGCCAGAACTAAAGTATGCGAGGCTCTAATCAGAGACATGCTGTTTGCAGACGACGCTGCAGTGGTAACCCATACACAGTAGGAGCTTCAGACCCTAATGGATTGCTTCTCCCAGGCATGCAAGGACTTCGGGCTTACCATCAGCCTGAAGAAGACAAACGTATTGGCGCAGGGCACGGAAGCACCACCAACCATCACCATCGACGACTACGAGCTGGAGGTCTTGAATCAGTTCACGTATCTGGGGTTCACGATCAGCAACAGCCTCTCCCTTGATACAGAGATCGACAAGAGGATTGGAGAATCAGCCTTCACACTCGCCCGCGTAACCACACGAGTGTGGGAGAATCTCAAACTCTCTGACATGACAAAGATGGCAGTGTACAACGCCTGCATCATCAGCACACTGCTCTATGGGAGTGAGACGAGGACAACATACGCCTGGCAGGAAAAGAGACTAAACTCCTTCCACCTGCACTGCATTCGCCACATCCTGGACATATCCTGGCAGGACAAAGTGCCCAACACAGAAGTTCTGTCCTGCGCCGGCCTTCCCTCCATGTTTACTCTACCCAGATAGCACAGGCTGCACTGGCTGGGCCATGTTCACCGTATGGAGGATGGCAGAATCCCCAAAGACGTCCTCTATGGTGAACTGGCGACTGGCAGGAGAGACGTTGGCCGCCCACAGCTTTAGAGACGTCTGTAAGAAAGACATGGAGGCCCTGGAGATCAACACAGAGTGCTAGGAGGACCTTGCAACAGACCAGTCCAAATGGAAAGCCACTCTGACCAGACAGCTCGAGGCGGGTGAAGAGAGACTGACTGCTGTAGCATGTGAAAAAAGGACCCGCAGGAAGAACCACCACAGACTCAGCAGCATGAAGACCTCCCTCAAGTGCGACCTATGTGACAGGGCCTGCCATTCGCGCATCAGCCTGTTTAGTCACAGGCGGTGCTGTTCCAGCAGAGTAGACATTTAGGATTCTCTTCCATGGTCATCATAGACCAACGGAGGCCGACGACAACAGTGTACATGAACAGTGAAGTCACAGAGTAGGCCCTGCATGCAACAGTCGTTGATCACAATATGTTTATGTTGGGCATTGATCCGCCATTTTTATTTGGCAGTGGTGCAACAAAATTCAGAAAGTTAACATAAAATCTGAGCCTTAAGATGCATGCTTGTGACTGAAAACTTTGCTCTTCATTGAACACTTCCGAGGACCCATTCAGTCATGGTACACCAAGCTGACTAGGTTTCATTTAATTCAAAAAATCTCTCGTTTTCTCGTTTCACCATGCAGTACTAGCCTTGTTTCAAGGCACCTATGCTGATTCACAGACTGAATTCCCCACATTTGTAATAAGCATACATGTATGTGTGAGTACAAACTTGTTTGCACTTTGATTTCAATGCTAGTAGTGTGCACGTATGTGTACTGTACCGTGCCACTGTGCTGTGCCAGCTACAGCTGCACACTTGAGGCTCAGACATGCCACAGCGCTTGCAAGTATCGGTACCAGCGCGAACAACCCAATCTTGAGGCGGAGTAGCACAATTTAGCATGTTTCCAGCATTATTTGTTCATTAAAAGCAAGCATTTTAAAAGGGTTCGGTAGGCATTTATTTATGGTTTTGTGCAGAGTTTTCCTTACTTTTGAAGTCATTCTTCGTGAAAAATTTTCAAGTTCCGTTTCCAGCAGTGATTTCCATTTCAAAGTGTTGATTCCGCAAATTCTGTCTGTTTTCCACGATCGCAGAAAAATCACTGACTCTACATTATATCGACACAAACTGTAGAAAACCATGACAACTGGAACAATTGAACCTTCAAAAGACAACCTGGTCCTCAACAACGGAAATGTATGAACTTTAACCCTAGAAAACAAAACCTTTTTTTTAACGCTAACAGTCCCAAATCCTCCAATTTCAATATGATTTTACAAACACCCTTGGGGTTAGGGTTAAATGAATGAATGAAGAATTGGACATGAAAAATGAAAAATAAAAGATGAAAATGAGAAAAATGAAATGAAATGATCAGGTCAGATCATAACTGTAGGGGGAGGGGGTGAATCCGCCCCATGGTCTCAGCTGTACCATGACTAATCTTTTTAAAAGTAGGTATGCAAGTAAAGAATTCAAGTAAATATGAATACATCTGTGATATTTCAATTTAATCCAGATGGGGTTTTGACATCATGGTCTTTTCTAGTTCACACATTCATGTGTGTCAGTCCACATGCAATTTTTCTTAGTTGCCAACACTTTCTAAGAGTAAAAATCCATAAAATAGGTTATACACCTATAACATGACGATGACACCAGGCTTTGGTTATGTATGCACTTAATTATGACACTGAGGTAGGACATGATCTTTTGTTCCCCCATGAAAAGTGCACGTGCAAACAAAGGTCTATTCCATTTGAAGATGTTAATTTCAAAAGTTAATTTTTAATACAGTTAAGCACATTACATCTCCAAAAAAAATGTGCACCCAAGAACAAAGGTCAAAGTTACATGTGGTATTTTCTGAGAGAAAAAAAGCTAAATCCCTCATAAGTGTTGCTCATTTAATAATTCAAATATGCTTTCACCTTTAGTTCCCTGTGGAGTTTATTGAGTTTTTTGTAGAGCTGCCCTGCAGTCATCTCCATCTCAGTTGTGACCAGCTCATGAAATAATCCCACCTTCCATGCATTCCAAAGACTTTCCCACTCCTTGGTCAACTGCCACACAGTCTCAAGATGATCAAGATCCTAGCACATAATAAATCAAAGTTAAAAACAAATTCATGTTGTCATATGCAAAAAATATCAAGTACGTTGCTGCCATAATTTTACAGTATCTACCTGATACTAACATGTCAAAGAATGCTTCCTGTTCTCCAACAACTTAATTTTATTTTTCAGTTACAGATGAACAGAAAATTTACTTCCAACAGAAATGCATTATCCTTTGAAAAATGAAAGATATATCCATATTGGAGACTGCTTTGTGAATTCACAATTTTTCATCATCCAACTTGAGCTAGAACAAAACAAAAACAAACAATGCAACACATTATTCACTGCATTTAATAGAGTGATGATCAAATCAAGGAGTATTCTGAAAAGGTTTTGCAAACTTCCACAAACTTTGTATACCAACTAATATGTCAGCATTCAACATTACTATCATTCATTATGTAAATATGTAAATGGGTCATTCTGAAATGTAGCGTCAGAAGTGGGATACAAGTGCCCCAAATTTTAAAACCTACCTTTTGCCCAGGGATAAGCTGATTTTGTTCTATAACACATGCAGTTTAGACAGATAAAACAGTGCATGTCACTACTTTGTGCTCTATGTAGCAGAGGTGGATGACTTAAATTTTAATACCACAAGAAATCTAAGGGACAAAAATGGCACATGACAGAATACACAACTATGAAAGAAGTACCAAAATTGGTCTCAATCGATTTTACCTTTTCTGCAGAATTCGACACCTTTTACCATTATATAAACTACAAGATATTACACAAAGCAAATTATTGGCCTGAGAACACAGCATTGATATTTGAGAGGGGAACCTCCTTATTAAAAGGATAACATGTTGAAAAGCTTAGCACACTGCCTTGATATGCATGGGCACGGTGGTTGTGGCAATGCAATGCCTTGAAATGTCTGCAAAACAAGGTTGGACAAAGAACATTTCATTATATGGCTCAATTATGTAACTGTAAAATCAAGTGTGCATGTCTTTTTAACAGGAATTGCACGTTTCTATTACTCTCACAGCTACTCAATACATGCAGGCCATCAAGTGGCTTCTGGGAATTAAAATCGTTGTTTGCTGATCTAAAGCTAATTTTACCTTCACTGGATTTTACCTTACTTGATTTTTACCTTCATATTGCTGAAGTTGAGTTCAGCCAATGAAAGTTTACTTATTTCTTCACTTTGTTGTTGGAATCTATCCATGGGGTATCGCATCTTTGACATGAATTGAAGTAATCTCAATGGCATCCCTGTCACCTCATCAGATCTAACGACACTGCCGTCAAGGCTGCAGACAGGAAAGCGAAGCATTCTGCTATAACCCAGTGATGACCAACAACCAGCTGTACTCGCACCTCTTCATCCAGAAGTGGTTCTCCCTCTGCAGTCATTATCTGCATCCCAGTGGCCTCATTGTCTTTGGTTCCCACCAACCTCTTAACCTCGGTATTTGTTCCTATGACCATGACCATTCCTAAGGCCGTGTTTCCTGCCACACAGCTTTCAACTGCCCTCTTGATGACAATATCATGGCTTAACAACTTTACTGCTGCAGCTAGTGGTGGTAGAAAACTGTTCCTTTGCCAGTAGCTTGACACGAAAGTGCATCCTCCTGTCACAATGTTCAGTGGCACCACCCCACCTCATCCTTCTGTCACCTCAGTAATCACTGTCCTTCATCTTGCCATCCTTTCTGTGACCACTGCCCCTCATCCTGCCATTCCGTCCGTGACCTCATGGAGCAGCTGTATCGAGTCTCATCAAACCACCACTTCCTTAGCCTCATCAACTGGCTTCACAGCACCTCATCTAGCCACACTGAGCATGGTAGGATCCAGAGCCCCTAGACTGCCTGGAACTGGTCTTGTGGCTGGTGATTAGCTGGGTCAACTGAATAATTTCCATCATGTTACCAATGTTTATAATCTTTTTAGGACCCCTTTCAACTGTCCTAAACAATCAATTTTGCTCCAAACCCCTTTGGGGTTTCAAGTTTCCCAGGCTGTAAAGATTGTGTGTGTGCAGATTCGCACACGCATGCTCCAGATACATCTGGTCTGGTCAAGGCAGCAGGCCAGACTGACACAATGGGAATCCAGTGGCACCTGTACAGCAACTGTGTAGTTCCCTTTTTACTAGGAGTACACATTCAAAAACTCCAGTTTCAACATCTTAGGTAGCTCTCCCAATACAACAAGCCAAGATCAGCCCCAATTCCCAATGCTCACTCTTTTTGTCCCCCCCACCCACCCAAAATGAAGTTCCAATTTTGAGAGAGTGCTGTCCCCTTATCCTCATGTCAAGGATACTGAACCGTAATAATATCTTGGTTTTCAAACAGGTTTTCCTCAGGTTACACCAATCCTTCAGTGGTTACCATGTGACTTGGAATGTTTTCATAGCCAGTGCAAAATGTCTAGGGCCTTTTACAGCCGTCCCTTTCCTAACTTGCAATGTTAACCAATTAATCTCATTCCAAAACCCAAACCAAACTCCTTCCACCTTATTCACCACCACTCCATTCCAATCAGCCAGTCAGTCAACGGTTTCACTGACAAGGAGCCACACACAGTTCATTGTGCCTACATGTAGTTCAATAAAGCAGTGTCACTGGCGATGTGCACAAGACAAGATGCATGACCGGCAAAAGCTGACATCGAATCCACTTTTTGCTTGCTTCCAGAATCTCCAGCAGATTATGAACTTTTGGGGTTTATACTTGAAGGATTGTCAGCCAATACCAACTTTTCCTGCTTGATGTAATATCATGACATTTTTTGTTCTTCAAGTTTGACAAAGCAGATTGTACATGTACACGTATGGTCTGTAGTTTTCCATCTGTTTGTGATTGGCCATTACTAAAACATGGCCAGGGAAGTGAACTTTGGAGATTTCTAAACTAACTGACATCTGCTGACTTATCTCAATTAGTTGTTGGCCCTACACACTAGACTTGGTTGTTGCTAGGAATATGGAAAAACTTGTATTAAAAATAGAGGTTGATGACTGCCTTTGATCTGATCACGTGGCCATCATCATGGAGATTCAACTGTCCAAACCCAGCTCATCCAAAAGTCACCATTTCCAGGCGACTGAAACAAATCAATGTAAATGACTTAAAGGCAGACATTCTCCTATCTGAACCTGGTGTTAATTGATTCCCACACGAATCTTCATGATCTCATTACACAATACAACCAAGTCTTCCATGAACTCTTAGATAAACATGTTCCATAGGTCCAATGTACATGTACTATCACACTCCGTCCATACACTCCTTCGTATTCTGATCAACTCCGTGATGTCAACCACTGCAAACAGGCAGTGTGAAAGGAAGTGGCTGAAATCTGGTTTGGAAAGTGATCACCAGGTGTACAGAGATAGCTGTCTTGCCTACGGTCAGTATCTCAATAATGCTAAGACAATTACCATAAGGATGGGCTGGCTGGCTGCCATTTTCAGCAACTATTATACATGAATCAAAGAGACGTCAAATGAATAAGTTGCCAAATGCTACCATCTGGACCTGAATGGGATGTGACTGAATGGTTTGTCAACTAATACAAGTAAGATTGAGTATCTTCAAAAGAAACTGGATGTATCACATAGTAGGTCAGTATCTGTACAAATTGAGGAGTCGTGCTCAACCATTCCTGGGTTGCTGAAACATCCTCGAGTAGTGGGTAGGACTCTTTCTACCTATAGAGATAGATCATTCTCTGTTGCCACACCAGTTGAGTGGAACAAGTTGCCGCTCTATGTTAGAAGTGCCCCCAGTGTCAGTTGTTGAAACCTCATCTGAAGATCTATTTTTTAAAATTAATTTATGATGTTCGTTTATTTTTATTTTATTTGTTTTTATTTTTTAATGTTTTGATTTTGATTGTAATTTCTAAGTAACAATGATCATTACTTCACTGGGAAGTATAACTTGGGGCTCTGTCAGTCTTGGAGGGCAGGATGTGGGTGACTGACCAAACACTCAGCACCACCGTGAAAGTTTTGCCGCTCGAAGGTACAGCGTTTAAATGGTTATTATTTTTCAATAAAAAAGAACTTGTAGGTAACAGCATAAAACCATATAAAATGATGATTTGTGAAATTATGCACCATTAGAATGACTGAAAGGAAGGAAAATAAAACTGTGGAGTGAAGTGATTTTATTTGAAGTAGACAGTATATAAGCATATGCATAGTATGTGTAGTACGACTCCATGAATAGGAACATTTGCTGGCATAAAATTTGGATCACTCAAAATGTTTTATTCATTCCCCTGAGGTACAATATAGAGATTTTAATGTATCAAAAAGACAATATCTGCAAATGTCTTACCATTTTGCATTCTGACTAAATTTACTTTTAGTTTTGAAATCCAAATGAAAGTAGCAAAACACCCAAATCAACATTCACACTTTTTTAGATAAAATTAAAGAGCAAGGACAATATACTGAACACTGCTATGCCAAACAATTGGGTACACAAAACATTCCTCTTGGATCCTTGAAGAGAGGAAGATACTGAGTTCAAAATGCGGGAATTTGGCATTACTTTTTTCAGGGGGGGGGGAATAAACTGGCACTGTTTGCCAAAAATCGTTACACAAACAAAATCATGAGGTAGGTCCCCACACGTTTGGACAGATCTGAGCCGTAACAGGGGCAATGGTTACTGAAAATTGCTACACCGAAAAACCACTGCACCAAACATTTTGTGTGGCCCCTGTAATGGTTGGTATAGCGATGGTGCACTATATTATAAATAATCTATTGACTACTATTGACCTATTTACACATACCTTATCAATTTGTTGAATTTCCTTGGATGGAGGTTGATCAATCTTGAAGATACCAAGTCCTCTACGTAACTTGGCTTCTTGTTCTTTAAGACTGTTCACTTGATCTCTGATTTGGGAAACCACATGCAGTGCCTCTTCACATGCCAAGGAACTACTAAATGGTCCTTCAACAAATGAAAGAAATTGAAAATAAAATGTAAAAAAGAAATGAAACCAATAATTTGTGGTCACAAAGATAGACGGATAAGAAATCTGGTGATTTATAGTATTCCTTGATTCAAGAAGAAAAATCTGTGTTGGTCAGAAATGTGGTAGGTTGGTCAAAATCATATGATGGATATCTGCTTATTGACAGTCTGTACGTCAAGATGCTGTTGTGTCTAAAGTGCACCCTCTATAGACAGAAGTGGTTGGCAATATGTTGAAGTGTTACACTTTACAGTCTGGAGTCTGTGCATGCATTATTTTCCATGCCGTAGCAGATGTTATAAATGTACAACACCTGAATAAATCCCTATCATCTGATTGGGGAATCGTTGATCACATGGCATTGAATTATTTGCATCAACACACAGCATGCGCATAAGCGCACGTGCGACATACACACAGAGTGCAAAAAATTTATAACTACTGTGCATTAGAAACGAATAACCAACACCTCCAGATCAATTGCACTGCAGGTTCTAGTGGTGCAAGTTTCTTTATGGCAAAATGATGGGCGATCAAGCTCCACCATTCATAATTCTACAAAATAATCATGAGAATTTGTTTGTAAGTAATGCTGCCAAATGATGAAACAAGCTAGGAATATCATGACGGAAAATTAACAGTTTCACAAGTGGACAACTTCTAGTTCGAATTAGTTAATTAATCCAGCTGTACTCAGAAAATCAGATGAGGAGGATTTATGCAGGTGTTGTATAAAGCAAATAGTGAATGTTTCGCATTTATGCAATGGTAAGAATAATTGCATGAGGTGACAGATGAAACGGTCTATTCCATGAGGCGAAGCCAAGAGGAATAGACGTTTCATCTGTCACTCATCACGCAATTATTCTTACCACTTTACTCATAAACACTCATTATTTGTATACCAACACCATGCAATAGACGTTCCTTGCATATCATTAATGTGTACAATTTTAAGCTTCACTTGGCTTTGAGATGTACCATATATAACAAACATAAACTATGCATTATAGTATGGAAAACCTAGAAGTTATTGATCACCAAAGTCGGCATTCTGCATTTGTAAAGTTTCGCTTCAGTGACACAGATGTAGATTTGCTCAATTTTTTGGGGTCAATATGAAGGAATTATGAATTTTCAAAATGTTTTTGTTTTCAAATTGAAATCATTTGAAAAATATAAACCTGTATGTGACCTAGTGACCTGCCTGGGTTACCTGGTCCCTCTATTGCTCTCTTTTTGGCATTTTCATTTCCCCATTTTTTTGTCTTGAGAGTATTGAAAGTAATCGGTCAACCTACTTGCATTACCTTGTCCCTCTGCTGTCTTTCATAGAAATCCCCCTTCGTCACTTTATATCTTTACAGTCAAGCATAGTACTGTATGAACCTAGAACAGCAATGCTGTATAGAGTGCCTTTAGCTGTTTATATTTAATCTGTGTTAGGTTGTGTTTCGTTTTGGTAGCCAAACCATGTACACTGAGGGCCCTCTCCCTTTGCGTTGATTCATCAGAACATTCGTTCTGCATTGTACTGATGCAAACTTTTGTGGCTGTGCATGCAGCCATGCAAGTGAGCTGAAGAGACTCTTGTTGCTGCCCTTTTCTTTGACCAAGACGTGAAGGTTCAGTGCTGCACCTCGTTGGCTTTGGGATGATGCTCAAGCGGTTCAAACTGAATCACTCTTCTACAAAGTCTTTGTAAGCATTACCATAATATGCTGTGTGCTAACTTTCCCCAAGACGGTACTGCACGTACAACAAAGTGTTTGCACCATGCAGCCATTCGGTTTCTTGTTCACTTGTTTAATTGGCACAAGTCATGGGGTGCTGCATGATTAAGTTACAACACTTTCTTTAATATTATTTAATAGATTGTATAGTACATATAATATATTAAATACATATCCTATACTTTGAGAAAGTCAATTTTCATGTTGGATGAATATCAGGTGCGTCTCGTGACATGTAGATCATGCATGTGGGATTGCAGTAAGGTGCGAGGTCAAAATACAAACGTTTTTGAAAGCGTTCAACGCTTTGTAAACGCTAAGCCCTACCGACGGTCAACATCGAACAGACAAACACTTCAGCAAAGGCTGGCCGAACGGTTGCAGTCGAGTACACCGTGCTTTCTGCAGCTTCCAGACTTCTGGGGTCTGGTGGATGAGTCATGACAATAGCTCTTTACTCTGCAGCTCTGCAGGAGGATTCCGCAGACTGTTTTAACTTAGCTGATAAAGCAGGTGTATTCAGTAGTTGTGTTCAAGTTGCTAATAAAGTGTGAAATATCTGCGCTGTCGGTTTCCAGACCAGTCTTTTCAGGTCTCGATACCCTATAATCATGATATTTTGTTTCGGTATCGTGAGTCAAATACACACCTAACTGTATACCTGAAGAATCGAATATACTAACTTGAAATAGTATTTACCTGAATCATACATGACTTAGTGTTCATGTTGGAAAAACAAACATGTCGAGTTTTATACTAATCTCTGGTGTTTGACTTTACCTATCAAACTTTAATGCACAGTAAATTAAAACAATAAACACAATTTAATCCAGGCGAACTGCCAAACCTAGGCAAAAATCATCAAACAAGGCACTTTCGAACCGAACCAAACTGTTCAGTTCGGATGTATGGCTTTAATAATGCATTTCATTGATGGCACACGGGAATACATACAAAAATACAAGAAAACTTGATAAAAAACAAACACAACGAAAAATGATTAATGAGTTGTACGGCGTGCTCCACACGTGCATGAACATACTGAAACTTACAATGGCCCACATCATGAGATGGTTGTAAAATGCATGGGGTGAAAATCACTCAGAAATCAACAAAGAACACGCAACGTAAGGCATTGTCGCTGCATAACATTTCTAAATTTTCACTACGTCCAGTCGTGCTCATGTATATTCAGATTTATTATTTTATTTGCCAATCTCCGATAGCCACGCCCTTACGTTCCATATTAGGGTAATGACGTTCCATATTAGGCCAATGGTCTCGTAAATGGAGTGCAAAACGAATTTTGGTTGGATGCTGATAACAATCGACTTGCGCTCGATCCAAGGTGCCTAGGCATCCCCGGATGCCAAGGAGTTTGGTTTATGCTGTGCTTTTGCACAGGGCATAAGTAGATTTTTGTTCGCGCGGTGGCCTAACTTGCCTTTCATTTGACAATGAAGGGTTTGATCATAGTGCCAATGCGTTGTAATGGAAGTTGCCAGATCTCAAATAACAAAATGCTGTTATCCCTTCAAAAGAGGCTGATGGAAAATCACCCCTTTGGTCACGTGCACGCCTTCTTTGGAAAGGATCCTCCTGAGATATGCACCGAAAGCCATTTTCTTAGTTGAATCTATTTCACAAAAATTACCAAAACACGATTCGCTCGATCTTGCATTCTGTACTGAAGGAGGAAAGTCCTAATTGAGCATGCTGTTTTTTCTATTTGCACATATCTTAAAATCGTTTTGTTGAGTCAAGCGTGGTCCGAACACAACCGCTTCTGGTCGGCAAAACACGGTCAGAAACTGCCACACCTCCGGCAGTAACTTTATATGGAATGTACCCATAGACAAACTCTGGGGAAACAGTTTAAAAACAAAAAGTATTCAAATCAAAGTTGCTCGTGGATGGGGAGAGAAAGGAGATTCATCATTTTTATACACAGAAATACTATATAGGCCTTTGCAGCACGATCGTAGCGAGCCTAAATTTGATGTCTCAGTGTGCATTGTATGTGTACATGTCCGAACCCCAACCGATCCGAAGTTCGGCAAAAAATGTCTGAGCCTTGTCTGAACCGAACCGAACCTTGACACATACTTGCAGCACTATTTGATGCGGAGTTTGAATTTTTTTTTACTTTCAAAGAATATGGAACACGTGACTGAAGTTCAAAATAAATTCATATTGTGTGTATGTGGATATTTCCTTTCAGAGACGATAGATCAGGCGGTAAAATGAGGCAGCCGTGTTTGGCATTTCCCATATGAACGTATTTATTTTCCAGTCTAAAAAACGCTTAAAGATCTTGTGGCGATGTCTTTTAGTCATGAATTACCCACTCAAAACGTTTTTGAAGCTAGAGAAATGTCTGTAGCCTAGAATGCAGTTGATTTTGCATCTCTATCACAAGGTGTTTAACCACTAATCCTTACGGCCAGCCCAGAAAGGCTGATCGGGGCCAATGAAGTTCTAATTGAATAGGATCATTTGTTCACAACTATGGCTGTGTAAGCCACAAACTCCATTGTTGCAGGGTTGCCCGTGAAGCTGGACAGTTCGGGGCAGACGGTTCTTTTCAATCCGTTGAACTGTCCAACACCAAAAGACGAACGGAATGAAGGGGGATTAACACCAACCGTTGAACTGTTTCTAAACCGTCTGTATTTTGACCCCACGCCTAAGATACATTAATTTACATGTAGATTTAGAACCTGATGTTGGGAGACTAGTAATTGAATCTTTACAGTGTTCCCACATGTACCTTTAGATCCTTTGGAAAGACTAAATGATGAGGAAGTTGAGATGCACCACAGGAACATGTTGATAATCACTATTCCTACTGTTTTGAATGCTGCAAGACTCTGAACATTCATTAATATCAGTCTTATCCAAAATATTTTATTCACTGTAATTAAGATCTAGAAAGATTTAGGGTTTTGTCAAATACATATCCAAAAGATTCATTATATGCACACTTTCATTAAAGGGTCCATGAAGACAATTATGGGCGTGCCGTCTGACTTCAACATTCGTTTAAATTTAACCTCAAACAAGTTGTACGTGCTCTGAAGAAAACACTGTGGCTAGAAATGCGCTATAGGTCCCGACCACGTGGCTCTTGTGAGTCTGACTTTCAATGTCCAAATTCGTCTAAATGTTGATTCAGTGGGAAAGTTATGCACGCTTACCAATCTCTGTAGGTGTTGCCGTAGGCCGCGGGAGATACTGAGATACCTCTCGGGCGGGGCTGTTTCACCAAACATTTGTTTTGTTTTTCCCAGTTATTAATCAAAACAACAACTTTTACATTCTGGATAACATTTAAAACATACAATTTTCAATTATAACTAATAAAACCCCCTTTTCATGGGCCCTTTAATTAATAAAGTGCACATGAACTGGAATGATAATGGAAGTCATATTTTGCAAACAAATTTTCTGTGGGTAAATTAATCCACAGGAATATATTGAAGTTAAATACAGTTTAGTTCAACGTGGAAAGATGATTTAACTATATATCAAGCATCGTGAAATATTTCCTTGTATGTTACATTGACAATCCCAGCTCATATATGTATGTTTGGCAGCATTTTAACAGGGATCAATATCAATGTTTAACTTGTTTAATTGAAATTTTTGCACACCATTAACCAAAACCAGAAAACAGTATTTGCAACTTCTCACGTACCACATATGAGGTATATATATATATGCTTTTCATTCACTGGAAACTGTAAATTAAATCTTGTGAAATGTGATTCAGTACATGTACCTACATGTGTGTAGGTGCCTCCCATGCTATGTAAAATTTTTACTACTTTTAGAGACACTGCTGATGCTGTTTTGAGTAAAACTGCAGGGCATTTGGCACAGTTTGATGATTGACAAATTTGGGGTTTCATCCAAATATTGCAAAATAATGTCCCTGTTTTCACAAAGAGACAAATTGGCACAAAATCATGACTTTTTTTCAAATTTCTGATTTCTTTGCAAAATCAACTGCCTAAAACTTAGTGCAGTCATTTTTACCAAATTTGCTAAAATCAGCCAAATCATGATGATCCCACTGGGGCAGAATTCAAATAATTTGCATTTTTCGTTTTCACAAAGGAACAAAGTTGTCTTCCATAGATGCAGCGTTAGCAATATTAGCTTGTAACAAAATCCCCTGAGGGCAATAACAGTAGCTGATAAGAGATGCCTGAAATCCTGGTTGTACCTGCCAGAACACCCGAATTCAGGCTGCTGAACTCGGATTTTCTGGTAAATGAGAATTCACAGCATGGCGCTGCCGCATCCATGTTTCTGTCATATTTTTGCGTTAACCCTATTCAGTTACATGTAAAAATTTAACAGGTCCACAGCAATTGTTTCTAACATGTTCTGAATGTCTGCTGTTTACCCAAAAGCTCTCTGATCACATAGTACCGTGTCAATCATTGTAAGGGACTTCATAAACATATCTGTGAATGTGGTATGGGATTAAATGACTTACCATTACTGTTGAAGTCATCAAGTAGGTTAGCGACAGACTTTTTGAATTCTTCAGATGAATGAATAAGGCCTGTCTTGAATTTCTCTTTGTGTTTCTTCAGCATTGCGTCACTATCAATTAAACATTGTTGGAATGCCACCCACTCATTATCCAACTCGTCTAGCATTTGACGTACCTGCATTGATACAACAAAAAGACTTTTCATGTGAAAATTTGTGGGTTTTTTTCTGATTCACATTAAAAACAAGAGTGCTTCGACTGTAAGGTGCTCTACACTGTGAACTGATCCATTTGCATATCCCCCCCCAAGAAAATTATGAACTGGTGCAACAAATGTGAAGAGAAACAAGACACAACAGTTAACAAACAGTACATATGCAAAATAGACCAGTATATCACACCACATCACAAACCAGCCTTGCCTAAAATTCTAAACCATAATGTTTTGACTGCTTAATAGACCATTCATTTAAAGTTTGTTTCTTTGCACAAGTTTCTATGTTTTGCTGTGCTTATCTCTGGAGAACCCCTTTGGCACAGAGGGCCCAAAGTGGACCTTCCAAACACCTCATGCATTTATGTTGAGAGTAAATCCTGAGTAAATCCTGAGTGATTGGCCCTCCACAGTCTGCACACTTTCAACCAATTCCTTCAAAGGGTTTATGCAAGTTATAGTGAAGTTTTGTGACCTTTCTACCCTTTCCTGCTGTGTTTGTGAGCATGCTCATGTTTCAAAAATTCCTTTGGCTGTGGGGAATAGAGACTGAGAACCATGGAAACAGCAGACAGCATTGTTGATGGCTTGAGCACCTCTGCTCCTGCTGAATTAGCCAGTGCTATCGTTGTCAGCTTGTAACATCACAGCTAATGCACAGTGGCCAACAACATGACCAAAGTGCACTAGAATTATTTTCAAATGAACTGGTAGGTTTCAAATACAGTTCATCTAACTGTTTCTGAACCTGTAGAATCAAATGGAGATGATTTTAAATGTTTCTGGTGTTATCAAAATACTGTTTTTTACTGGACAGCTCTGTATCCATCACTTATTATACTCAAACTACAAAAAATGGATTTTTTGTCAATCAATTTGCCACACAACGCGCACCCTCAATGCACTGTTGAGACTGAACACCATAGTAAAAGAAGCGGGGCAAGATGGTAGACTACACAATAATGGTGTACGGAAATTGTCAGCAACATTGTGATATCCCTAGTGCTATCACCTTTCAGAGTGCGAAAAAAATCAAGCTGGACCAGGTCATTCGTACCCAAATGAACAACGATTAAAGCAGGATTCCCAACCATGTGGTTTAACAATTGTTGTAACTCGTAAAGTTGCGCCCAACTCCTCCCGTTCCAGTGTACATGAATTGGAGCATCCATGTCAAAAGTCGCCCCACGGATTATAGGGTCACCAACAATACATGCACACCTATTACATGCAAAATTGTCCAATCGTTCTTGACATGTACCCCTTGAGGCCGTGATGAATAAAAAATCGTCTAGGTAGTGTGTGACATCGCCTTCGTATGTCATTTGGTGTACCTTGAATTCAAGAAAAGTACAGAATTTTTTGAACAGCGCACAGGAAACTGCGCACCCGATCGGTAATAATTTGTTGAAATAAAATTGGTTTTAGAACTTGAAGCCAAACAAATCATAGTCATTAGGTGAGATTGGGAACAGACAAAAGGTGGACACTGTATCAGATTTGGCCATGTACATGTATGCACTTTTCCCTGATTGAACAACTATTTGCACTGTAACATCAAACAACGCGAACTGTACCTTGCACTGCTCAATGTCAATAAAATCATTGAACTTCCATGAAGAAATGATAGACAGTGACCTGAGTGATATGAGCCTGGCTCTTTTGGGGCACAAGCCCAATGGGAGAGCATTGTAAATCATCAAGAGGGCGGGCCATGAAGGGCCCTGCAATGTGACTGGATTGAATTTTTTTGTCAAGTTTTCCTTTGACAATCTTGGGCTGTAATGATGCTGATCATAGGCATTCTGAATTCCTGCTAACCTGCGGTCCAGTGTAACTCAATGAGAATCCCTGTCAAAAACCGTCTTGTAAAATTTTTCGATCTGAAATATCATAGGACTCAAGCCAGTTCAACAATACTGACAGTTTAATTGGTGTTGGGAGTGCAAAAGCGAGCTTTAGCAGCTGCGGTGGGTCAAGCATTTTTCTCGGGTACTCATAGATGAGTTATTTTCACCGGACAATGTAGAGTTTATCAGCGCAATCTGCACAAATTCCTTTGTCTTAGGCCCCTTAGGTCCCCACTGCTGGTAACGTATTTGGTTGCCATAAACTTGCAGACATGTGCACTGTGTCCCGAACTGGTGCATTTGGTGCAGCGGTGTTGAAATTTACAGCCAAAATATTTACAACCACCCAGTCTGTTAAATGCAAAGCAGATCCAACAACCTGTACACAGCCCTGTGGTGATAGTCTGCAGGTTGCTGTATTTAGCCATAGTTCTGTATCTAACTCTGCCCACGACCTATCAGGTTGTGTCTCCTGCCCGGCGAGGCGGAACTGCTCATCAGAGACCCGCTGAGACCCACTTATCCCATGTATCAAGTTTGGTCAGGCAGCCTGTTGGCAAAGCGCTAGGCCACAAAAACATCTTATTGCCCTCTACCATGAGTGCTACTTCTGAAGCTATTAACTTTCGCCAGCACTGCTGCTGCGCTATCCAGAAAAAGATTAGACATGTCAACATACTCATTTTTCCAGTAACTTCCAGTCTCTTTTAATAACTGGGAGACATGCCCACCTAACGGTGAGACAGAACTAACATGACAATCCCAAACCTATGCATGCAGACCGCATAGTTTCTAGCCTCCCTTATGTAAGCCATTTAGTAAACTGTTATTGCCTAAGGCTGTTAACTCATCCAACCCCTGGGAGGGATGGACTATGAGTGCTGCCTGCACTGGGGGCAACGACTGCATCATGGGTATTGGCTGGACCGTAGATGCCGGCATCACTATGGGCATTGGCTGAGTGAGTGCTACCACTACTCCTTGTCCACACCATCCCACCATTCTTAACTGAACTGGCGGCATCACTGTGGGTGTTGGCTGAATGGCTTGCCGCTTGTGCTGTGTTGCTGTATTTCATGGTTATCCCTCTCTTCCTGTGGTTTATGTACAAGGCAAGCACTTTTACTGGGCTGGATACCATCCTGCAGGCTAGCTGAGGTCCTACGAAGCGGCATCTTGGTGTGGCGAGTTTGATATATCTCTACTGCTGATAGGCGTGGTGCGTAAAACTACCGACCACACTGGCTTTACCTCAGGCTAAACCCAGTTGTTTTTTGGAAATTTACTTTTGTTTACACTGAACTGTAACCTGCAACATTTTCAATCCTAATATTTTATTAGTATGGTTGAGAAAAATAAGCAATTACAAATTAATCACTTTCTCCAATATGAAGGAATAATGGATTAAAAAGATATAGCCATTTTCAGTTTCTGTAGCCAATTTCCACACTATCTTTACATAAATGCCAATATTGCAACTTGAAAAAGAGTAATTTGCCTTGGGCAAAGTATTTTTAAGCTGAAGTACACATACACATTTATGTACATAAAACTTGTGTGCTGTAGAACAGCCAGCGATCACTTGTATCATTTGTCCGTTTTCAAAACTTTGGAAGACCCCAAAATGTTGGAAATTAATCCTGTAATCTTAGTTTATGTGTAAAAAGAGTAAATGACCCTTTTTTGGCAAATTTTAGACACAACTACTTGAGTTTGTGTCATGAGTTCCCATAAAAAAAAAGTCTTTGTGTCATCTAGCAGTTTGCCCTCGATTGTCTAGTACATACTTTTAATGTGTCACGTTATGTCATTAAAATTTGTTGACTCAGTAAAGCTTCAAGGGTGCATAAAGGACTCTTCATTTACATTTGAAATTTCAAAATGTTAATTTTTGTTTATGTTGTCAAGTGAGTGAATATGAACAAAAATTTGTGGAGGATCCCTTTTTAGTGTTCGTTACTCATTTTTTTTCCCAGAGGAAAGCTAGATATATTACTTGGGTTGACACTGGGTTACCCATATTCATAAAGGTAATCAGTGGGAGGATGGGATATGAACATTATTTGCTCATTATTATGCTTACAGATTTTTTTGGAGGGAGATTTAGAGACAAGGTAGATGTGGAGTCATGGGGTGTGCAGAAGTGCGGACAGACCACTGGAGGATATAGGGTAACCATATTTAGTGCTGAGCTAGTGAAGACTGTCAAGTACATAAGTGACGGACACATTAAGGGACTTTACTTGAAATTTATTATGCAAGGATGTTTAATGGTGATAGTCCGAGGGACCTCATGTTATAAAAAGTGAAAACAATGTCCTTTATTCAAATTGGTTCCACCCTTACTGATTGAAGAAAGTTATTCAAATGAACAGGAAATGTTTGCAGGAAGATTTGAAATTTGAAGCTGTTTAAATTGCTATAAAAATTCACAGAATATGTGCTGTTACAATGCTGTTACAATGACAAACACCAGGACTCGCCCTTTCAATAAATATATCTTGTGTAACACGTCTTGGCCACAGTAGATTTCAAAGGCTGGCAGCTGCATAGACTTAGGTGCACAGAAATAGGAGGATTGAGGATATTGTAAACGGGCGTACAATCTACGGTACATAGAGCCCATTCCATATTCATATCTCACGCCAACGTGAGCCAAGTTGACTGCATGGTTGGCTGGTTTCCAATCTAACACACGTTGCTGATACACTGCTCATGAGAACCAGGGCTATTTTAGGCACACAATCCAGTGTTGTATCCAAACCCATAGCACAGAGCTTAGGTGTCTAGGTCTTCGCTGCATTGGAAATACCCATAAAAGTAGCCATAGCTCTACCTGTAAGCTGACACTGCTACAGACAGATTGATAAGATTACATGCGCCGTTTTGGGTGCTCAATTTGCACAACCTATATATAGACTGATACCAAACTATGTATTTACAGTACACATATGGAGTAATAGGAGCCAAGACACGTGTTGTTGCGTTTTATTCACAAAGTTCACATTATTTGAAAATATCGTAAAGTATGATAAAGAGATGATAAAGAGGGGCTAAGCATTCATAAAATCACAGTAAATTCAAGGGGGAAAATGCATTCACCATGTCCCTATTTTGGCGCACTGGACCACTCCGATTACGCTCTGGCCTACTGTGTGATGGTCTCCATGAGAAGTGCCCTCTGATGACAGCTACAGCAGCATCTACTTGGAGTTCAACCTTACGCAATGTTAATATCATTGCTAAAGGGATAGCAGCCATGGCAACTAACGTCAACACTTGCTCGTACTACTCACAGACTGAAGTCAGTCAAACAGGGAGTCCCTAAGGGATCTTCTACCCTCTGCAGCAGTAAGCTGGGCCCAAAGAACTGGTTGCATTCAGCATTAGTCTTCAACCAGGCACAGCACGTACATGTACCTTGACCAGTGTGACATACACCACCCCCTCAATGCCAGTGTTCGGTATCACCAACCCATGAGCCCTTGTATGGCCTTCTCTCATAGACACCACCCTATCTTCAAGTGTTGCTTCAAGGCCACCTCCACTCCTAGCAGGGCATGCGCCCACAGTATCTGCAAGAATACACCAGCGATCTGGCAGCCCCCCTCAAATTTTTCTAGTGTTCCAGGAGCTCCTCTTCTAGTTCAAGGCCAACCTTCATCCACACCTGGCCTTCCACCTATTGCCAACTGGGACAGCCAGCCATGATACTTTAACTCCCATCTTTATCCAGCAAGTAACAGTCAGTGCTGAGCAAGTCAACTTGACTTCTAGTACTCTAAGTTCCCGACCCCTCATGATTCCTCCATATGCCCAACCATCACCACCGAACTGTTCAAGAGCAATCTCGACATTAATCTCTGCAAACCCTGCAGCTCACTTGCAGCACTAGTAACAGTAACTGCACAACAAGGTTTTATGGATGATTTGAGACTGGATATTGGTAATATTAAAAACATCACTTCCAACATCAACAAGTTACATGTATGTTGCTGCTGCTATATGAATGATACCCATGCAAAGACCTACGGATTCATGAATTTACAGATGAAATTCACTTGTGTATACTTCATATCCTTTTATGTTTATGACCAAGTGGTAAAGGCTGATTAACCAAACTTTATTTACAACACTAACCTCATCAGATATGGCTACATCATACTTCTCCAGGATAGCAAACTGTTCATGAAGAGGTGGAAAACGGGCTTCTATCTTACTCAAATCTGTCTGTAGTTGTTCCAACAATAACAGACTGTCTCCAAGCTCATCAAGGGTTTGAGGAGGCTTACTCAGCCTGTAACAAGCAAACAATACAAATTCAACAGATATGATGCTAGAAGATAGTGATGCTGATCATATGACATGGATAAGGAATAACAATAACACAATAATAGTCTAAGCTCCAGAATAGCAAAATCCCTTCTAAAAATGACCCTACACCGTCTACTCCCCTTAATGTCTTGTTTTTTTAATAGCTGGTATATTCGAGGTGATTAAGAATTCGGACAGTGTGTGACATTTTACTCCGGCAAAAATGTTAATTTTGAAAGAAATTCAGAAGAAAATCCAAGGCAAATAATGCCAAAATGAAGATGTCTGGTACCCCTATCGATACACATCATTACTGTTTAACACTGCTATTGGAGACCTGTCTCTGGGTGGCATCGGAGCAGTGCCAAATACATGCATATGCATGCATACACATATGGGCCTACGCATCAGATTTTCATCACGATAAAAATGTGCGAGAGCAGCACAGCGGGATGGTTTGGGATTCAAAGGTTGGTAACTTTGGTAACAAGGGTAGGCCTAAGTACTTAACTTTGTCATCCTCTACTGGGTTAGGTCATAATTGTAATTCAAGAAAATGTGTCTTGTTTAAATGAAATACAGAGAAGGTTAAATGACACGAAAAACTATAGTGTATACTTAGCTGTTATTATTCCTCTACTGAATACTGGAATTCAGTAGGGTTTTGAGTCAACTCTGACCCAAAGCAACTCAGACCAATCCCAATTCTGCCCCAACGCCAACTCAGACCCAATGCCATCTCAGACCCACAACCAATGCGGACCCATAACCAACTCGGACCCAACCTGGATAAGATTTACTTTGATACCCGTACCAAAATCAAAATGAATGGTTAGCACAACCTTCAATCTTAAAATTTTTATCAGGAAACCTGACGTATAATATGCCAAAGATAGTATACAATTGTATGACAAATTTGAATGAAAAATATTGATTAACAAAATGAAAATTGTTTATCTCCATGGAACATTGTTTCATAAAATACAAAAAAGAGACAAAATTAAACATGGGAAATGAATGAAATGAAAGAACAAGCAAAAAAGTTTGAAAATGTTCAGGAAATAATACGCCCTTTTAAGCCTCTGCAACAATGTGTGTCATGAAATTTAGTCCGAAATTCAACAACGAGCATCAGTGGACTGGTCAAAGTTCAACTTGTGCAAAGTTTACTTGAACGGATGTCGTACAACTCGACCGTTTGCCAACTTGACCATTAAGACAACTCAACCAGTGGGACAACTCGACTGTTTACCAAGTTTTCCGTTGTAACAACTCAACAGTTCAAGGTGTGTGCAAGACGAAGTTTCAGGCATTTAACACAGATTGCAGATCATGTGTTTGGCAAATTGCGTGTGTCACATTATGTTGCATGCATTGGGACCCGATGACAGTGGTGGACAGTGCACGTCAGCCCCTTAACCAGTGCAGTGTGGCCCAGACGGCGATGTCGCATGCATGGTGGCGCAGCGTACAACCTGCAGTGCACAGGCACCTTGACCACACCTATGATCAGTTGCTAGTCTGTTGGTATGACTTCGTGAAAGATTTGTCTGAGCCCCAGTTGAAAATATCTCAGAAAAATCCCCAATCATCATTGCATATAATAATGTCTTTGAAGTTATTGAATTCTAAAAAATGGATATTTTCTATACTACAACTTTGTAGTCGTACAATTAACATTAGATTTATGAAAGGAAATGTTCAAAGTGTGATGAGTTAAGATTGTGGCAGCAACTTAAGAGGGTACTAGCTGTGGTATGGTGCATGATCATGTTTAAAATAATGATCTTCTGCTACATTAGAGTTGGCAAGGGACCAAGTTGGCATGGCAGAGTTCGTATGGATCCAAGCTGGTTTGGGTCCAAGTTGACCTAATACCTTTTGTGCCTATAGAAGGCTACTCCAACACTTAGCTTAATTTCTAGTAAATTAGGAAATCATCACTAAATGTGTGAAAGATACGATACACACCAGTTTTTTGAAAAACATTACATCTGGGATTTTGTTCACAATCTGAAACATCCCAAATTTTAACATACAGCAGGGAATTTGGTCTGTGTTTTCAACTAAACATATGTTGAGCAAATTTGGGATTATTTAGAAAGTTACGGGAAAATACACTTTTTTTATAATTTTGGCAGGAAAATTGGCAACCACAATGGATTTTGTCGAAAATGTGCACTTTTGCGAGGACTTTGTTGATTACACCACCTATTTTCTTAAACAGCAGTATTTTTTGAGTATAAAAATGTCCCAAATTTCAAGGGAGCACACCATGTAGGGTAAACTCATTTTTTTATGTTTTGGAGCTCAGACTATAACTTTGCTACAGAGTTTCTGAATTACCTAGCAGATGCTGATCAAGTGATGCAAAAACCAAAGTATTTGCAATCTTTCTAGGCAACTTACTTATCTTGGTTACTGCACAGAAAGTTGTGTAGATCCTTCAGCTGTTGGCTGGCCATCTCACGGAGCAAAGTAGTAAACTTATTTTCCCATTCATGACAGTGCCCAAGTAAAGCAGTTTTAAGTGGTGAGCAGTCCAGAAGCACAAACTGTATGTTAAGAACAGTTTCTTCCTTTTGTACATTGTTGGCCACTTCTGTGTACCTGTTGAGAGGAAGACATTTAAATATCAGTAATTTTTTCACTGACACAATATTACATGTGACATTTCTTCCCCAAACCTATCTTGAAAAGGACAGCCAGAACCAACATACAGGTATGGCCACTGTCAGAAAGGAGAAAAGAAAGACTGCAAACCAGAAAACCCCTATAGTGTGATAATCCCAGCATCTGTCCTATTTTCAATGTACATTTGTTAATTGTTATTCTACTGTGTTGTATAAACACATACACTTTTTATTGGTGGGGGTCAGGATGGCACACCTTCTGGTGATAGTTTTGTAACTTTACCTTCCCTGGACAGCGACCCCTAACAATGATTTTTTTGTTTCTTGGTTTGTTTTTAAAGTCCAAATATTTCAAATTAATTAATAAATAAATAATAAATATACAGATCAGACTGCTGAGCCACATCTTTACTTGCTAGAAGTGAAGGAGATTGCACAGTCTGTCTCTGCACTCTTGATGGGTGACCAGCACACAACTTTTTAAATCCATGTTTAGCTTGAAAATGCAATACTGGATCAAACAGCCAACATACGTGTATTTATTAAAATCCTTATTATTCTAAATATTCAATGTTCAGAAAAATGTGCAGTTTTTATGGTAGTCATGATAGATGAAGGCGTTAACATTGTCAATTTTGCTGGTGGTATGTAGCCACAGTGTGTGTATTTTTGTCATACTGCTGGTTGCAGCTATCTTTGGGAGTTTTCATCTATTTCTGTTCATCTGGATTTACATGTAGATTGGGTTGCCCCGTGGCATCAACGTGATTCAGTTGTACAAACATGCTGATATGATTTGAAATTTTTCATCAGTCAACTTTCTTCACAGAGTTTTGGTGGTTATGATTACAAACTCGTATGTCTTGTCATTGAAATACGAGATGTTTCAACATCAACTAACGTGATTGTTACAATTTCACTGGACTTGTCACAGCTAGGCAAGGCCTGCAGAACTTCCATTTATGTTTCTCAGCTACTTTATGTTCAGCAATAACAATTTTCTTATCTCAGCTTGAATAATGTATCTCTTACTGTACTGTGTTTAGGCCTAATATGAAACTCAGAGACTTTGAAACATTTACATCATCAGCTTTTGTAAGTTTACAACTTCGTATTGACATGCAGCAATGCCAATGATGTATGAAACGCCTGCTAGTGTCCATGCAACAAATCAACTACAACACTCCAATTCGCCCTTGTTTCAGGTAGCTCATCGGTGTTCTTGGCTTGGCCGTGCCGGATCCAGGAATTTTAGCATGTTACAAGAGGTCAGTTTGTTTCATGTGGAGCTAGATTATGATCAGTGATCTGATGTTGTTTCATTGACACAAACCTAATGAGCGGCACGAACCAGCTTTGGGATTACTAATTGCAATTCAGATCTGTGTGAAACAAACAGACCCAAACAGGCTAGGTAAAAAAGCCTGTACAAAGTGATGCCAAACGATGTGATAATACACGACACAAGAACTTGGTGCGCCCCACACCAGTGGAAGCCCTCTATCAACGAAAGCAAAACTTTACTAACTTCATTTCAAGCCGTAAATTTACAGTAAAATGTGTGCTACTATGAATAAAAGTGGAGCTTGTTAGTCACTACTTCCGCACACACAGGAATGGCTGTAACGAGTCCAACTGACACATATGTATGAATGTTGATATTTAATTAGCACAATGAGCGGATGGTCCAAGGATGGCTTGCTCCATGCCTTGTACACCGTACACAGGGCGCTAGTTTCAGTAGCGTACATACGGCATTCACGCAAAGTTTGGCAGAGAAAATTGAAAAATCAACGCTTGCTAAAAGAAGAAAAACAAGGAAAATCTGGCCTGTCAATAGCAAAAAAGCGGAAAATAAAATTCGGCATATTCAACAAGAAAGCAGAAATGCGCTAAAAGGCGGATATTTCACACCCCTGATTATGCTAATAAGACAACAATCGAAGGACATTAAAGTATTCCAGCATGCTTAAACAACCAGCATATTCATAACTGGAAATACACCGTTAATAACGCCACTTACCACTACATTTGCTAATGACAAAGTAAGGCAGATTTGAATGTATCATGCTTACAATACACTGTGATTCAAGGCATGCATGCTTTTATCGCTCTTTTTGGGGAGGATCACTGAAGAGCACTGGACTTGTTCAGTAAGGAAATGCAGGCATGTTTACCCCAACTGAACCCAGCCAAGTTGTCTACATGCAAGTCATTTTTTCTCCTTTTTTGTTTTCAGAAAATATGTGAACAATATTTTTGAAATATTGGTCACTGGGGAAAAAGAATGAAAACAAAAATCTGTGTTTCCAATTTTTATTTTTTAAAAACATTTTTTTAGAATGAACATTGCTGTAATCTGCAAAACAACTAATTAAATTGGAGTGGTGTTAAAAAAATTGGGAGCAAGCATGCCCTGCTGTTTTGGGTGAATAGAAATTTTAAGTAATATGCATGTGTAATAGTTTGTGAAGGTTCAAACAATTATTAAAGAAATAAACTAGCAGCTCAGAAAACTATGCCGAAAGTTAAATTATACTTTTAATATGTGCTTGTGTGTGTTGTCTGAAAATTACGGAATTTCATAAATGATGAAATTGAATGAAGAAAATGTGAAAACCATACTAAATAAAAAAGTCCGGAAATTCCTTCAAGTTACCTTGCAATATCAGCATCAAATGAAGCTACTGGGGGATTGAGTCGTTGGTATCTCCGAATGAAAGCATCTTTGTTAATCTCCCAAATCTCACGGTAACTACCAAAAAAAAATACACATCGAATTAATTAAAAGAAAATTATAATTTCATAACAAGTTATAATACCTCAATGTTTAACTGTTTATTTAATAGCTGTCATGGGGACTACAGTTTAGACTTACTTGTCCCAGGTTCCGAGATAGTTCATAAGGTGCTGCGCATTGCTCTGCATACCTGCATCAATACTCTTTTGAATCTTCTTGGTTTCCTCATCCTTCTCAATCACGCTGTTGATAGGCTGCAAGCAAGGTTCAAAGAATACATGATATTGATCAATTGACTGATTTTGAAGGAAGTCATTTAAGGGAGATATAGAGTGAGAGGGAAAGATTAACCTCTTGCTGCGGGGAAACCCTGTTTCAAGCATCATGGGTTTATACGCAGAGCCGGGGTGCCTGAAACGGGACAAAAGAGCTGATCCGTGTAACAAAAGATATTACTCGGAACAAAAGACCTGCTGCTGGGAATTGCCAACATTTTTCGGCTTGCATTTTTAGACGCTAATCTGTCACTGTTTTGAAACAGTATACCACTGTTTTGGGCATAGCGCGCCCGCGGATTAGCACCGCAGACAAAAGTGCTCCAGGACCCCACTGATGAGCAACACAACACCGCTGCATGCTAATCCAGCTGCATTTGAACCAATTTGCAACCAAGCAACCGATTTGCCCCTGTGGTGGCTACGGAAGACGTTATAATGTGTTATGTCCTCATATCCAAGAACTCTTGGAACTTTTTTTCTAAAAATTATCAGTTTGCTGGGATTTTCTATTCTACTGATAAATAAATATAAACCACATCAAGGATTTGGACTGCAAGCGTGCAGGCTACATTTGGGCCGCAATAGCAATCAGGCTTACTTGAAAGCCAGGATCAGTTTAGGCTGTGGTCATGACAAGTCGATTACAATGGCACTGGCAGCAAGCACACTCTTGCTGACATGACTCACAATTAAAGTCTCACATTCTTTTTTCACTCATTGTCAATGATTTGGCAGTGGTCTTTTAGGATCAGCCCTTCAAAAACTTAGAGTTAAGCGGATGTAGTGGTGTGAACATTTTGAGTTACGGAGGTGTTTTGCTCATAAAAGCTTGTGCTCTTGGTGGCAGTGAAGAATGTCTTTGAGATAAGCCGAGTTCCAATTAACCAACTTTTTGAGTTATTGAGAGTTTATTGCATTTACGAATTGGAATAAATATGAGCTTGGCAAGTCTTAAACTAACTTTCGGCTCAGGCATTAGTCATATCCATTCTCCTGAGCCGGAATTAAATGCACACTTAAGAATAACTGGGACTTTTTTTCTATTCCTATTGGTCAAAATGCATCATGTGACCATGTATTAACATTTGATAATGCCCGCCGAGAAGTGATAATGCCCGCTGCATGAATCACGCTGGCACATGGATACAAGACAGTTTAATTGCATCTGATTGGTCAGGAGTCTGTGTGCACGCAACGTGCCACACACGTGCCAAGTTCATTTTAAAAGATTCTATTGGACAACTTTCAAAAGGAATGTACCATAAAATGGACGGGGTGTTCAGGAAAATGAAAGTAAAATTTTAGTACAAAATCATTGGAAATCCATCACTTCCTTGAATTCCATTGACTTCTTTCGACTCTCTGAATTAAAAGGTATTTATGAATGGGAATAAATATGTGCTTGGATGGTCTTAAAGTAACATTTAAGACTGGCTCGGGAGACTGAACGCTGATGATGATGAATCAGTTGTGTACATTCTCCTGAGCCGGTCTTAAACGCACATTTAAGACCAGTCAAGCACATATTTATTCCCTTATTCAAGATTGGCCAAGCACATTTATTTCCTTATTACTCAAATAAATGTTTAAAGGTTACCTCTTTTGTAGAGCGCTTCCTTGTAAGAAGGTCCGGTAATCGTTGAATGACTGAGATTGCAGCTGTCAGGTGACTACTTGTGTTCATTACAATTGTGGCAAGTTTCTTCAATGTAGGAGAGAACTCTACAGAATTCTGTTCAAACAACATTTTTAAACGATTTGATATTTTCCCACATGAGATTGATCATAACAAAAAACTAATTCTTATTTCAACAAAGCTCATCTTTTCTCTCACTGAATGAACACATTTCCGCAATTTAAAAAAAAGGAAGTGCACTCTGCGTTAATTAAAAAAACAACAACTGCGCCTCTGTCTTTGACTTTCTTGATCAAGAATCCCCCATACCTAATATCACAGAAGAGTTCGTTCAAAAGCAACTATCATCCATGTTGGTTGGAAAAAAGCAGGTTTGGCATGCATTATTGTTAAAATATGCAAACTATCTTCCCCTTCTATAGAGAAATTGTTAACTCTTTATTTTTTAACCTTTCCAATTATTAATCTTAAAATAAAAGATGCAAGCAATGTTCCAAGACTGAAAATAATAATTATAAATCACAGGTTTTGATATAGCACTCTTTAACTTTCAAACTTATTTCTGTCATGATAAATTCAGCTTTCTCTAGTACAACATGCTCAAAATCCTAGCATACAATCACATAAGCAGTTGTACATGTACACATATTTATCCGAATTGATATTCAACTTTCAAGCTTTTTTATATTTATTTTTTTAATGTAAATTTCGTCTCAAAATATTTGCATAACTGAATCACTTTCACAATGCTCCATTGTAGTAGAGCTTAAGACAGCCCGTATACTAACCTTGTCTCCTGTCAACACAACCTTGACTCGAAACAAAGGATTAGGCATTGTCTTGCCATCCCCATTGATTGCTCTGGACAGCTCCTGTAAGGACCATTTCACATTAAGTCGAAATGCCTCCTCTACCATTCTATCCATTTTTTCTGTGTAGCGATGCCAATGATTCTGGACCTAAACAACAGAAAACATTTAATAAAAATAACAAATGATTAGAAACTCATAGTTTTAGGTTGAATGAACCAAAAAAAATAGTAAAAGATATGAAGTGCACAAAATACATCCGTCATACCATAGTTGTGTTCAATTATTAAAGGAAAGTTCCTTTCTTCTCTCTTTAACTACTATACGCTAAAGCCAATATTTTCATTTCTTTGAAATCAAATGTGTGACCTGAAATCATGACCAAAATGATGTTCACACATTATGGCGTTTGTCGTAATTTGTATGGCAACACATCATCACTTATGCATATGCTTTTCATGCAGCCGATGCCAAGCTCTGCATGTCTCTGCATGTTTATAATTTGTACACGTATCGTGCATGTTAATCTAATGTCAGAATTTATTGCTATTTGGCACCATCTACAATGCCTTTCCAAGCATGATCACTGACAATACTTGAAATCCAATAGGGTCCCGTAATATGTTCATAACTTCCATTTTTACAAATGGGATTATCACATTTAAACCAACAGTTGCCTCTGCCAATTGGTTAGCTCTGGCTACATGCAGTCACCATTTCTGGGAGCGTTGCTTTGTTCCTTCAAAGTCAGTAAGGGTAATATCCTATCCATAAACTTTTACACTTTTGACAGAATTGCAACAATAATGTGCAAACAACATGTAACAGGTGTCACTATCAATCATAAATTCTCTTTTGTTTTGTATGCGGTTACATATGGAATGTTAGACTGATTATAATTCTCCCACGGAAGTGTGTGACGAGTGTACCACAAAACCAAAGAAAACTTACCCTAACAGTATCAACTTATACAAATTTCCCTAGTGCTAGCAGGTTATTCGCTGATGTTCAATCAACTAAAGCGGCCCTCTATCTACCACAATGCACAGCAGAGCTGCACTTATAATCAGCCTTTTTACAAGCACTCCTGTTTCGGAGCTACAGTGGGAAGTGGATAGGAGTGCTATTTGGGTAAGTAGCATAACAGTACATTCGAACAACTGTTCCATTACAATACATAATATTTTTATACACACCACTCACTCAGGCCACAGCAAACGTGAAATGAGTACCATCCCATTACAGACACTGTATACACAGTGCATTGCATACCACGCGCAGAGCACGAGTCCATAGTACGTGACCCATCATCCCCAAACCAGGCTGAAGTCAGTTTCAGTGATGTTGGACAATCCTCTCCTTCGTTTTTTTTTTTTTACACTTCAAAGGGATCCAAGCTTTGTACGGATAGTGATAGCTATGAACCTCTCATCAAAGTCTGAACAATTTTTTTACTTTTCACTTTATTTTGTGCTTGTGTAAGTACTGGCCCAAAATCCTCATACCGAAACAGTTCATGGGGCAGGCTGCCTTACATTTCAATGGGCCAATGGGAACAGCTGTGTGTATCTGTGACTGAAAAACACTACACCAAACAACTGCCATACCAAACATATTCCACGGACCCCATCGCGTTCATTATAGCAGCACTTCATTGTATAAACTATAAAAGTTTGAAAAAGAGGATGTCAACCACCTGTGGAGATGGATTATGTTGTCTTAGGATGAATCCTTTATCAAGGCAGAACCAAATGATTCCAGTCTCACTGCCATCAGGGCTGTCCTGCTGGAGATGCCGTCTGACTGCAAGACATTTTGTGCACAGCAAGAGATGGTAGATGGTGACTTCATGCTGCCCTGCAGATGTCAGCAATTAGCACACACAAGAGGAAGGACCATGAGGTGGATACAGCTCTGACATCGTGCACTCTGATTTGTTGCCAAACCTGTCTGTGGGCATGGCCAGTCTTGGTTTGCAAATTTGATGGTTGCCAAACTACCCAGTGGGCCATGGTTTCCTTTGCTCCTAGCCGATGGAGATTACTTGATGTCAAGAAAAAGCTGACGTGTATAGTTCCCCTGAGTTCTGTAGTTCGAGACAGGTACCACTTCGGAGTCTGCACTGGGCACTAGGGTTGTCAGAGAAAACCATGGAGTACAATTCATCATCTGTTGTGTTTTTTAAAAAAGGTTCTTCAGTATAACAAGACAAAGCCCATTAAGTACCCAGTGAGTGTGTCCCACTTTACTCTGTGCCTGTAGTTCGTTCCCTAAATTTGATATCACAACTGCCAGGAGGAATGAAAGTTTCAGACCGAAGTGAATGAGTGGTATTCAGCTAATTGGTTCAACTGGTGCTTTCATTAGCAGCTGGGGGACCAGTCCAAGGTTCGATGATGGAATGAGATGATGTACACTTGCTCACTTGGTAAACATTACACAAATTGTTTCAGTGGTGGAGCCACCAGGAAAGCTGCTATGGGCAGCTGCAATAGGAAAAGGGTAGTTGTGGATTATCACCACTATGAGGCCGGAATTGAACAGGTAAAGAAGAAAATCAGCCACTGCAGTCATAGACATAATTATCAATTGGGTCAAGTAACTGTTCCCTGCACTATAAAGTAAATGCTTAAGTTGGCAGTTGAATATTTTTCTGGTTAATGCTGGACATTCCCATGTGGCCATGGTGGCAGTGTTTCCAGAAATGCCTCCTGCTTAGAAAGTAAGCTGCATAGCAACCAGGATGTCAGGTAGAGATCCACTGGGTTTGAATGTAAATTACCTGACCATGGTTGGATTTCTGGTCAGAGAGGAGGGATCAGCAGTGTTTACGTTAGGAGCTCCATCAACCTTATGAACCATGCCTGTTGTGGCCAGAAAGGGGGTGATGAGAAAAACATGGCATTAGTCTCTTTCTATCTTGGCCGTTACCCTGGAAAGTAATGATATTTGGGGCATAAAGGATGGACACAGAAGGAAATTGAACTGCCTTCCGGGCTACAACATCTGGCCAATTGCCACTTTCTGGCATGTCTGGTACATGTATGTCCATGGCCAGAATGTAGCGAAGTGCGTGCTTGCTACGCACCATGTGTTTCACAACCATGAGACCCCTTTGTACATCATCACCGTCGCAATTTTTTACTAGGTTCCGACATCCTTAAAACTTCACGTACTGAAGTATAGGAAAGTTAATATTCAGGTCTTCGTTGGTGCTTCGTATGATCTAACAACACCAAATTTAATGCTTCTGCAATTGATGTGTGCCTTAAATGGTCATAGGCAGTTACTGCCCTTCTCAAACACTTTCCTCTGGAGTGATTTTGGGAATAAATAGCCAAGTTATTTATAAGATTTTGTGGTTAATTTGAATCAATGTTATTGCGACATTTACACAAATGTGTATTTTGTGAGATCTCACGATCACTCCTTGTGATGAAATCCACATTTTGTTCATTATGAACTTAGCTTTCCAGTAGTAGTCAACATGTTGTTGGCCAGTCTAAGCAAAATTCGTGACTAAGTCTTTGAAAACTGATGTTTTGGAGTGACAAAAATAAAATTACAGACATTGCATGGACAATGGAACAGAGTATCAAAATAATTTTTTTTCCCAATGGCAAAAGAAGGTCTACCATTAGATACTTCTCTATTTCCTGGTCACAACAATAAATTACAGTTAATTGCAAGCAAAAAAACACAAGTATCACTCAAATATAACTGGCCCCATTTGTCCGGCTAAGCTGCAGGTAGTAATCTGGCATTTTTGGAATGTTTTCCATTATTCGTCTGACTGGGTGGCAGCAATAATCAAGCATTTTGAAGTGCTATAGTTGTAACTTCTTCTGAGTCCTTCCTCCATGTTTGGAGGAAAGCGTAGCCAAGTGTACCACTCCAATCTATAATCAGCACATTAATGACCCATGCCAGTGGGTGTAGATATCTGCCATAGAATACTGTTAGACCGGCACTGTCTGTCAATGCAAACAGATTCATGTGAAGCTTATCCACGACGCCCACTGTGAGGTCTAAGACTACCTTGAGGAAGATTGGATTTAATGATGGAGTGGGGTGTCATTTCTTGTGGCTTATACTAGTCTCCTGTTAGGTTGTTAGGTCATAGTGTGACACAGCTTCTGTGGTCTCATTATCAATTGCCCCACTACTCATCAGTCGACCAGGTGTACAAACATCATGACATCTAACTGTCAGAGGTTTGAAGCAACTGCTTTGGCTACCCCTGTGAAGGCCCTGGGTGACGTAAATACTCTGAACAGGAGCAGAGGACTTGGAGAGTTTCTTGTTGTACATGATCAGTGATCACAGGTATTTGCAATCTTGCAGGGTACAGTACTTGCAGTCCTCCATCCTGCAGGTTGAGAAACAATGCTTATGCAGGTATTCACACAGATTTCCTGACCGTCTGAAGTATTCCATTCAGAAGTGTTGGGGCGAATGCACTCTTTCAGTGACCATAGATTTTTGATGGGCTGCTAATCTTTGGGGTTAGAAGGCCGACAGAAAACCAAGACATCCTTTTTCAGTCCTACCATCTAGATGGCTTATTTCTGCAGGAGGGAGGTGATTTTGGCCTCCAAGGCTTGGCATTGCCCATGTCTACAGGAGTTGTATGGAGTGTGGAGTCGAACTGAGAGGTGTTTGGCAGCCTGATGGATTCAGGAACCGTCAGGGGCCTGCTCTGAAGCACAAGAGTCATCTGTACCATCCTCCAGAGTACACGGTGGTGGGCAGTTTATTCCCTCAATCCCTATTGCTTGGTTGGGGATCAGGGTATAGGTGACAGGTTGGATGCCGTGGTAGTGCCGCTTCCCTAGAACCTGGTGAAGGCCTGGTTGATCAGAGTGTAGGGTTCCGGAAAGGCTTGGTATCTGAGCTGTGGGATAAAAGGAGGGTCTGAGTCTGGAAGCTTGCTATGATGTTTTGAAAAGCTGCAACGAAGTCTGCAGGTGATACAGCCTGAAATTCCTCTTGTCAACGTGTCATGCTTTCTTTACTTTTGATCTGCCTGATGAAACTGAGGATGACAACCGTTTCTGTTTACGTGGCTTGCATTTTACAACCTGGGTAGAGGCACTTGTAGACGATGTATGCCATGCTTGAATTCCTAACACATGTACATGCAGGTGAGTGTCTTCAGACTCCCCGCCACCTTGAGACTTGTTTGGATGCATCCTGATGGAAGGACCAGTCAGGTCAGATTGTTAACCCCTGGCATGCCCGATTAGGAGTGCTGCATGGAGAGGGCAGGTGGGACTGAAAACCTCAACACCATGAACCCACGTCACGCCCTTCAGCTCCAGTGTGGATGTTTAACTTCCACTGGGCACAGCGATAAGTGACCCGTGGGAAGTTTGTTCTTGGGGGCCAAGTGTCACTGATGGTTCCATGGATGACTGTAGATCCATTTGGGGCTCGTCTTTTCTCAGCTGTTTTACTCTAGAGCTACATGTACCTGCAGAGATTCCTGTCTCAGCCATCTTGGCTGCCGTGCCGTGCCGCTTGGTGGTGCCTAGGGCAGGCCTCGAAAAAGTACTAGCCCGGTGTACAAATTCTAGTGAAAAATGCTCCGAGCTACCTAAACCTGGTTCCTTGGTTGCCTGGTGGTCTAGTGAAAAATTCAGAATAAGCCTACCTGTTGAAACTTAGATCAAAATATGTAATGCTTTTCGTCATACTAAATACAAGATCGCAAAAACCAAGTTGTTGTGGATGTGTTTTTATTTGTCTTTTTGAAACGTTATGCTCGTGCGATAGGGCGATAAGTGACCGTGAACACCATAAACAGAGTAGACTGGTGGGTTGTGGTACCGGTATAGCATAGCACAATCATGGTACGGTGCGATACCACACATGCACAGTGTTCTCGTTTACTGTTTAGGCCACTTCTGCTTCCGATTACATGCCTGTTTGGTCAATTTTTTTGTGCTTATGCTGTAGCATGAATGGGGATGAAAGCTTCCAAAACTTGTCTCAAACAGTGATAAAAACATGTCTTAATAGATTTAAGAATTACTACAGTCGACAATTCACAAGAATTACGGACAAATCACACAATGCTAGTCAGGTAATCATGACGGCAAACTGGCCAGCACTGTCCGTGTATTGCGTGGTAAGCATCCATGATGCATGCAGATGGGTGGGCAATAAACCACCTGCTGTGGCAGGAACTCATAAGCACAGAAAATAAATACATAAACAAGAGACAAAGGTCTGTGAATTATCTTGCAGAAATCCTCTTGCAAAATTGATGTTTTTTCGGCCTGCAGCTGTATGGTTGCATGCATGTACGACACTGATGTCCTTTTTATAGCTCCATGTTTTAATCAACCAAGACATATAGACTGGTTAGCACATTTCCATCACACATTCTTTTGCATGGGCGCAGCGTGGTGGGAACCAGCACAGCTTTGCTTTCATGCATTGAGCTTTGCGCATTGTTGTCACCACTGTGACAGCGAAACGCGAGTGGAACTTGTGAAAATGACAGAAATTTCTTTTCAAAAATTGCACAAGTAGGAAAACATATAAAAACAAGCATTTAACATGAGGAAGGGTTGGTGAAAGGAGTTTTGAGAAGACAGAAAAGACATCAGCATTAACTTTTAATTTTGTAAATTTGTTTTTCTAACTTGTCGATAAAAATTTTAGGGTTGCACTAAACAATTAGGATCGGTTGAGAAACCAAAACCAGAAGTATTTTTTTGGCCTTATCAATTTCTCGTACCTTAACTGGCCAAAGCTAGCTGTACTGGGCATTGCAGGAGTCCTTGAAAGCGTTTGGTATGAAGTCTACCAGAGCCACGTGCAAACAGCACCCTCTTCTGATTGGAAAAAGTTTTCTCTTGTTCACTACGCACGTTCGGATACGAAAGCAAAATGTGGCAATTTTTGCTGAACGTAAGTAACCAAAATGAGAGGAAAGAGATAATTTTGATCCCAACTCCATGACCAGTGACTAAAGCGACTTTTAATTAATATACAGGCCTCTTTATTTATTTATGCCATCAGCCTTTTTATTTTCCGAAAAGTCAAATTCTTTATTGGTAAGCTGATAACAAATTTGGGTTTTTTTAATTTTTTATATACGGGCTAGTAAAACTCTAAACGGGCTAGTAAGATATCCAGTTAACTGGCCCAGTGGACTAACCAGGAAAAAAAGTTAGCACAAGGCCTGTAGGGGTATGGGAATGGAGGGAGACACTCCGTATGGTCCTGCCAGGGCCATACCAAGGGTGAGGCAATTTCACATCGGAAGACTGACCATGGACCATGGTGAACACCCAACAGCACAGAAGCTGTGGAATGCAACTCACTGGCTACTCAACCATGTTCAGTTGGCCCCCGATAAGAAAGAAACAAATCCTTTTTCCCGTAACAAGGTGGCCAACACCCTGGGTAAGAGAATAGTGCAAATTCATGAATAACTCTACTGCCTGGGAATTGCAGGTGAGCTATGATGGGGCAGGCAAGTGCTCTTTTCAGTAGACTCAGTGGACCCATCCGGCCTTGCAGTACTGGTCCCATAGGATTGTACAGGTACCTCAGTGAATTAAATAGTGGATTCTCAGGGTGAGGCCGCAATGTGAGTGACCAACTCTCCCCCTGGTAATCAGAAAGCTGTTTAAGAAGGCGAGAGCTCCCTCTTCAGCTCAGAGGGGTAGATACTTACACGAAAAGAAAACACAACCAGGTAGGTTTATTTACATATACAGTGTACCCTTAATGTGCATGCGTACATAAGCAAGAAGAAAAACTGACTGACTGCTTCAACACCTCAAATAATCAATGAGAGACACATGCCTGCTCGGCGGACGAGCCCTGGAAACCCACGTGCAATAAAGTACGCAATGTAGTTCTAAAGACAGAAATATGTTACAAAGTTGGTCAATATATAACACAGTACTGTATCAGCAAAGCATGGAAACCTGATTACATGAAAAATTACATGTTCATTTGCTCTTATACTAAGAAGAAGAAGGGAAGTTATGGGTGATGCTCCGCTATGCATTGTGGAAGATAGTGAGCACACTACATGTACATTCGATCAAACCTCAGCGAATAGCCTGATTGTGCTAGGAAAATATGTACAGGTAGATGCTATTTTATGGGTAAAATGACCACCATAGGGTATTCAGCTCATTTCATGTCTCACACATCATATAGAGTGCTTTCTTTCCTATGAGAGAAAAAATTGAACTGATTGCCAATCAACTCCTTACATCCATTAGTGTCCTTGGAGAATCCGAATTACTTATCAAAAGGACAGGTTCCAGCCAACAACCCCTTCCCTTTCAGTTTCAGAGAAGGGGTATTCAGCTCATCACTTCACAATAAGCCTTTTCCAAGATAAATTTCAATTAAATCTGGGACGCTAAGTTTTTAAAATGCACATGAACACAAGAATTTGAATTCTCCATACTAACAACACTGTTGCTATACCTCCTGTTTTGGGGCAAGCTCTTGCTTGGTTGGACCAATATACTGTTTTCACTGGATAAGAAGGGCACAAAAGGAACCAGACCATGCCAGAGATGGGGGTCCCTATGCAAAAGCTTGCCCCGAATCACGAGTATAGCAACAGTATATTTAGCCTGGGAATTCAAATTGTTGTGTTCATGTGCAATGAAATAACTCAGTGTACCAGATTTTACAAAAAGCTGCTCAGAATAGAGGAAGCATAAAAAAAGACAAGATGTACCTGTCGTAAGAAAGACATGGGGTTACACATGTGTCTAAGTATTAGGAAGTAATACACCGGGTTGTATTCACAGATACATTTCTCAACACAGATATATTTTTTCAACTGAAAACCAGCTTTTCTTCATGTCTGCTTTCTGGCAATTGGAGTTGAAGGTCTGATGGGTGGGGTGTCCCAAGGCCCTCTTTTGAACAATTTTGTTTGCTGCTGGCTTTGAATGATTCATTTTCTTGATAACTTTGGGCCTTTGGTCTAGTCAGCTAGCGATCATCCCAGAGCATATTATTTTATCCCAGAGCATATTAATAAAGTCATTGAATGTACATACATGTAGTTTACACAATGCCTACTCAGTGTCCAAGAAAATTATATGATACACTGGGACCATGCTTACCAGCTTACGGCAAGGGAAATCTGGAGGGGGCATATAAATTGTAATCATGGACATTCTATGAGATATTATGTACACACGAGAAGAAATGCACTTGCAACACATTTTACCTCCTGCCCATCTGTTCGGAAAACCTCAAAAGTCTGTTTCATGATGTGAACTATCTCCTCATGAATGATTTTCAGCTTCTTCTGAGCACTTGCTCGGTGTTTCATCTGTTCTTCCTCGAACTCCAAGCCTTCATACACCTTCTTGTTATCAATCCGGACCAGTAGGTTTTCACTAATGCGCTTGCAGTTGCGAGATATGGTCAAGTTGGCAATTTTGTAGTCATCCACAATTACCTGGACCTTTTGTAAAAAGAAGAGAAGAACGCCACAAAATTACCTTAAGAAAATCAAGAAACCTTGCAAAGAGTGAGCAGAATTACTACAGATGATGTACCCAAGGTACCTTTTGTAAAAAGAAGAGAAGAACGCCACAAAATTACCTTAAGAAAATCAAGAAACCTTGCAAAGAGTGAGCAGAATTACTACAGATGATGTACCCAAGGTACTTGGGAATAAAAAAGCCTTGGTTAACAAAGTACACCTGATCACTTTATTTATATCTGCTCAGATATAAATGTTTGAAACTCTAATGTTAAGTGCGACGAGAACCTCTTATGTTATTAATTTTATGTAGCTTTGGAAAGTATGTTAAACCTGATGCCATTTTTTCCCTCATTTGTCATCTCAATAAATCACGATCTCATTAGCATATTCATTTTTTTTTTATTTTGTTGGTCATGAAAAAAAAAGTTTTAAGGTTTACATCAGTGGGGTCACTCAGGTTGAAAATGATGATTTCACACATTCAATAGGGAAAACCATACCAGTGGGCATTTTTTTCCTGCTAACTGACCTTTCTAACAAGTCCAGTGATCATTCAAGTGCATGTACATGTAGTATCACTGGTTAACACAGACATTCAGCATTACCATCGGATCATTTCATATTTTGGTATTTTACATATCATGCCCAACAGGTTTGTATGAAACGTTAAATATGCCATATATTTCAGTTGAAATTATATAAAACTAGGCTTGGGAGTTCATGGTTACAATTAAACCATACACTTGCTAATAGTACTGACATATCAAAAATCTGTAGCTTATCACAACTACATGTACATGTACACTGTATTTCCTAGAGGTAAAATTAGAAGTGTCAAGTCTTGAAGAAACATTTAATCTCTTTATGTTTGATGATATGTTGCATATATTAATTTTTTTATTTTACATGTTCAGTATAATTTTATCGCCTTATGTTGCTTGTGTGCATTTACCTTTGTATAAAATAGTGTACATTTTTAACGTTGGTCTTAGTCTCAGAAGTCCAGGTCTCTGTCTCAGAGTTGTAATAACTCGAGTCAATGACTCGACTCGACTCACAATTTTTGGCGATTTGACTCCAGTCCAGACGGGTAAAATGACTAGACTCAACTCGAGTCTCTGCGACCAAATAACTCAACTCACGTTTCTATGACCAAATTACTCAACTTGAACACCTCATGGAAACTCGACTCCAGTACAACCTTATGAGACTTGAGTCTCCAAAACTTAAAAGCAAAATATTAGTTGGCGAGATACCTGTCACCCTAATTTTTTCCCAGTATGTCTGAATGAAATAAAAGTACCAAAAAATGACTTACATGTAGTTGTGTTTTTATCACTACTGTTATTACTGTAGTTGTGTTTTTATTGTTACACAAATTGACTCGAGCTCAGGACTGGACTCAACTACACAAAGTGACTCAACTTGACTTGACTTCTTGACCTAATAACTCGATGCGAGCCACAATGTTAAAATGACTTGACTCGACTTGAGTCATCAAATTTAGTGAATCGTTACAAAACTTCTCGGTCTCGACAGGCAAAAGTCTCGGTCTCAAAGACTTGGTCTCAGTCTTGAAGGAGTGGGTCTCGGTCTCGAATGCCTTGGATTGGTCTCGGGCACCAAGGTCTCGGATACAACACTGGTATTTATGAATACTGGTTTAACCCTGAAACTGTTAATTCCCTGCAATCTAAACCACTCTATGACAGTTAAGTCACGTATGGGAAAACACTGTATAATTCAGCACAAGCCTGAACTAGGAGGGAGCAGTCAGTAATATTTGCCTTAGGTAGCCACCAAACAATACATATCTGAAAATGGAGTACAGCAAGAATTTAAAGCTGCACAATACAGTGCTGCTGTAATGAACATGTCCAGGTCCACAACACACATTCAGTATTGCGGTCATTTTGTATAGCATTTTTTTGTTTTTGATACATCTGCTCCTGCCTGTTTGAATATTAAGTGGCCTTTCTTAAATGCATATCTACATATGAATTTTGGGCCAGCACTTTATCCTCACAAACACGCAAAGAAATCAAGTTAAAAAATAAATCCACACATTCTATTGAATTTACATTTTTTTTCTTCCACATTTCACCTTTGAAGTTGTTCCCACTGAAAGTTGCATCATAAAGAAAACTAATTTTCACTTAGGTGTCACCGAAAAATTACTTGTGATGTGCAGAACTTTTACACTGGTTCTTGTTCCCATTAAAATTAAAAGAAAAAATGGATCAGCCAAGCCAGGAAATCTGTGACACTTTTCCAAGGATAATTTATGTCCAAGCTCAGCAATGTAAGAAATGTCACCAATGCATTGTTGAAACAATCAAAACTAGTGAAAAATTTTAAATGATTTCTTTGAGTTACTAGTAGGTCGCAAAAGGTGATCCGTCATTCTAACTTTATTTCAAGGCAAAACTCCTCTCCTTAGTAGTAACCACGAGAATCCAATCTGACTTTGTTGCACCCCAAATGCAGCAAAATGAGTTTTTATGACATGCAGAAGATACACAATAATAATCTTTATGATGCACAAACCTAAAATCTTACTGTTTTTCTGTTCCGAAATAAAGGAGAACGAGTCATTGAAGGTGGAGTGGAATGTAACTTATTTTGCATACATGTCAATATATGTGCGCAAGTGTTCACAATTAGTGGCAACAGACTATTCATACACCACAGAGAATAATGCGGTCAGCCTGCTATTGGAGCATCCAGACCTGCATTGGACGGTCAGTCATGTGTATGATTTGGGTACAAGTGCAACTTCTGGAAAAAGACAGAAACCCACTTACATACCTGTTTGCCATGTCTACAATTCTCAGTGTGTCGCGGAAAAAGTGACAAATACATATCAGATTCTTATCGTGAAAGTGAGTGGATTCGATTCCTGTGAAAGTAACTATAATTTACCCATTGATATATGAGGATGATGGCACAAAACATGTCTGTGTTGTGGGGCTTTGGTCCCAGCAGCACAGCACAAGACTGGGATATGTTTTATTTTATGACAAATCATGCACTTAAACATAATAGGTGGAACAACCAAGGTAGTGGACACGAACCATGCTAGAACACTGCATTTTGAGCATGCCTTTACCATGAGACTCGCATATAAACATGCACCCTACACATGCAGTATTTATAGCCAAATACATGATGAGCATTTCTGAAATCAGGGAAAAAGGGTCTCACAGGAGCCCATGTTTTTGACATTTTTGACCATAAATGGCAAAACTGTTCCATTTTGTCATGTTAATTTTGGAAGATGGTTTTGTCACCTGTTGTAAAAAGGTTATAATTGAGGACAGGAGTTTATTATTACTGGCTCTTTAAATTTTCTTTACCTTTGTCATCAATCCTATATACAGTCTATTTATTCCAAGCCAATTTCAGTGTTCATTAAGGGTGTACAGAGTAGTCATGAGCTAAGGAGATTGTCCAATACAGTCAACTCTTGGTAATACTAGCTCAAGTAAGACGAGACTCTGGTTTAGACGAGCATATTTGCCAGTCCCGACTGAATTGTGCACATTCCTATGAGGGAAAAAATGTGTAATACGAGCTTGGATGTTTAGACGAGCATTTTTAGAACACTGGCAGAGTGCAAATCTATTGTTATCTGTCTATTTAGCACAAGCTTTTTTTGAAAGAAACTTGTCAATCAGCCAGTCCATGCAATTTTGAAAGGCACTTCCATAATTTATGCGTGTACAGTAAAACAGCGCTGCGGTTTTCCCTCACCAAATGGAGCCGTTGTGTCCGGTGCTGCAAGAGATACGAACAATGGGCATTTGCGGTTCCCGTACCCATCGTAGAAATTCTCTGTGGCAGCTCTCGTACCGCCTCAACACAAGCGAGTGCCACCAAAAGTGGTATTTAGGACAGTGGTGAACAAAAGAAATCTTTTGTTTGATTCCCCCGTCCCCCCAAATTCCCCAAGACCAAAGTCCCCCCAGGAAACTAATAAAACTTGTGTTCTGTAATCAAACACCCGGCCCAAAAAACTGCCCACCCTCCATCTAAAAATTATTACCCGCTCCCCAATCCCCACCGTAACATGAAAATATCACCCCTTCTGATTTTGACATTTCTATACATTTTCAATTTAAGAAAATCATGCCTGAACCATGGTTTTCAGTTCAAAAATGTTTAAGAAAGTAACCACAAGTTTGGAAGAAAAAAGTGTATCCCTCGCTAATAATTTTTCACCAAACCCACACATCTTTCCCAAGTAAAATCCGATATTTACCCTCTGCTGTCCACACCACCAATAGCTAGTTTCCTCCCATTTTTATGTGCAACAAGTGCAGCTCTGGTGTTGATTACCATGCAACTAAAATGTTAATGTACTGTACTTACAATGTACATGTACGTTACGTGCGTGCATATGGATCTCATCACGGCGTGCGGGGCCAGGGACGTGTCGCTCCGAATCGACATGACTGGTGGAAATTCCGCTTCCTCCGTTCTTACATTTCATAATCATTCTTTTTAAACTTTTTAAAATCAAATTCATGTAACGATAATCAAAACAATACTACATGTATGTGCCTTTAAACAAAAAGTACATGTACGCTTTAACTACGGTCGATTGGTGATACATACGTCGAGCAGGAGGGCAGTTTTCACACACGAGGACTGGATAATACAAGCTAGTTTAGTAAGTCCCAAGGCCCTTGTATTAACGCAAGTCAAGTGTATATCAAAATATTTGATACAGCAGTGTTCATTACAGCAGCATCGTTATGTATTTTCAACAGTTCAAGTTTAGTATGTTTTTAGACTTAAATTGCTGACAGCAATTTGGCAACAGAGAAAAACTGACTGCTTGGACACCTTTTTATGAGTATTATACTTTGACAGTATTTAGGTTTTGGGGACATTTTCCACTCTCAATCACAAAAGCTTCCACTGATTTTCTTGATTTATACAATGGTTAGAAATTGGTCTGATACAAATCCTGCTTAAAAAACAACTATTGCATATTAAATATAATCTGAGCTTAACCAACACTGAGGTCAAATCTCAACTAAACAAAATAGTTTAGTCATATGATTTGTGAAATTATTCTTCACGCAGTACACATGTAAGTTATAGTTGAAACCCACAAGCTTTTGTAAAGTTGGAATGTTTACGTGCAAATGTATGATTACCTTATTCTTACGAAAGTTGCTAAACAAAAACAAAACAAAAAAGGTTCTCTAACCTTGCTGGCATACTGCCTGCATTCTCCAATGAAAAAGTCAGATATTCCCTTCGATGCCCAAGTTAGCTTTGTGAGACCAGGATGAATCTTTTTATCGAGATGTCTGATGCGTTCTTTAAACAGACCTCGTTCTTCTAGGGAAAGGGCAGCAATGATCCTGCAAAATAGTTCAAATAAAGCCAACTGAAGTCAGCCATTGCCACCATTTTCAATTAAACATGAATTTTCAGTGAAACCATCCAAAGCACTCCTCATTTCCTCATCACAGTTTCTGCCAAGGGCACACATATTCACAAATGAACAAACCTTTTGCCATAACTGTAAAAAGAAAATTTGTTGGATTGTCTATTTTGAGCTCAAAGACTGGAACTACAGCTGAGAAAGAGTGACCGACACTGCCATTAAAGTGGGAGACAACAATGAGCCAATTCAGTATTAAAACAGCACATACACAAAATAATAAAATTATAATATAATTAAATCATAATAAAATTTTGGGATTAGAAGTGATATCCAAGCCAAGTTTCAAGTGAAATCTTTCCTATTTCCAAGGATGAATTTCTGCTTTTTAAAAAGCGTTTTCTATTTCATCTTTTTCCATTTACCTGTTGTAATCTCGTACCACCAAGAGCACATTCTCCCTCAGGTTTCTTAATTCTTCTCTTTTGAGGTATACCTCAGTGGCATAGTGTGGAATCTCAAACATCAGCTTTTCCCAGTACTGGATCTCATTGAACAACTTCAGCAATACCCTTTACAAAACACAAAAGAAAGTGAACTTTTATTGGATTACATTGCTACACAGTAAACGTAAGGTTACAATCATGATGTTGCGAGTATTGTGGTCATTATTTAGGGATAAATGGAAGAAAATGTTTTTCTCTTTTTTTTGGAAAGATTGGGAGAGGAATTCTGCTACACACCAGAGGCACTGAACTGTGAAGGGGATCAATGCACATTTCTAAATAATTGACAAGGAACTGCCAACATGCTTTTACAAAAGTTGTCACTAAGTTGAGTTCAATCTAAGTCTTTGTGGGTCTTTAGTCCAATATCAAGTCAGGAGTTGTACATGTACATGACACTATATATGTGAAAAAGACTTTCCCATGCCAGAGTTAATCAATGTTGCTTGTGACAAGAACAGTGATTGACCTTTAAGACTCAATTACATCCACTCAATCACTGAACATTATTTTTAAATGTGAGTTTGCGATATCTATATGAATAAGTTACCACATGAAAATGAAACCTGAAGTTTTGGTAGATATTTTGATAATTTCTTGGGAATAAGGTGTGTCATGACCTCAAAGAGGATCAATAACGGCCTGGCGCTAATTTTGGCGCTGAACTCTTGCTTTATTACAGGTTATCAGGTGCTAATCAAGGTTTGTTGAATGCAAAAGCACCAGTGCACCCACTTACATGTAATGTCGACCCCTGTTTTTGGTTTCATGTCACACTTTCTGACAGGGCAAAAGACTTCAACTCAACTACACTCATAAAGGCTAACTACATTTCTCTCTAGTGGCCATTTTTATCAAGTACTGCTCTTAAAAGGATTCATTATCAGTTTTGCTTCATACCTGTCAAAGTTCATGTCTAACATGGCCTGTTTCTCTGTACTCCTGCACATGAGTGGAACATCTAACAATTTCATGCAGTCCTTGTCCACTGTAAGAGCCCATTCATTGAATGTCTTACGAATGAACTCATCTAGAGCTGTACTAAGTTGATTGTACTGTGTCCTTGTTTCTGCTCCAGTACCAATGTGTGGGAGGAAATAGGCCTTGTCCAATACCTATTATAAAATTAGGATGTAGAGATAAAAAATAGGGTTTTAGATTTCAGTTATTATGCAATACAAAAAGTTGGCACTGGTTAGTTAAGAAATCTTAGTAAGACAAAGGTACATGTAACACTGCACAGGTCTCAAGATGTGAGGTTCACTTTGTTGTAGTGTCTGAATATGCCCAGCTTGGGGAGGATAAGATTACACAACTTACTGCTGCATATGAAACACCCATAATACATTTTGAAATTCAACGCCTGGCCTTCATAGCCTAACTTTCATTCAAAACTGTAATATCAACTGCCAAACCAATTACACGATTGGTTGGGCTTTGCTAGAGAATTTTTGAGGCACAGTTTCTGACAAGCTTTTGCAAAGAAGAATGTGCCTATTGGCCCCTTGTTATTTTCTTTTTTTTCCAATAAAACTTTGAAGTTATAGACAGCTTTGCTCATCAAGATATTGTTAAGATGAGATATTCCGGAATTAAAGTGTAGCTCCCAGAGTGATAAACTTGGTAGCCAGATTTTTAAGCTTGACAGCTACTTCTTAAATTTGATGAGACAAACAAAACTTGGTGGGTCGCCAGGCTACTTCAGTAGGTTGGAGGACACTGGGGCATGCTTTTGGCAAATTAGAATTCATCAGTAAACAGCTTGCTCCAGCAGCCAATTTTAAGGAAACTGATCCTCCTATCAGCCATAGGGGAACCAGATCAGAGTAGCGGTTCTTTCTTCGCTTTCATCTCTACAGCCTGGTTCAATTCCCAGCAAAGTCCACATGTGGGTCAGGTTTTTAAGGTATCTGACTGATTCTGTGGATTTACTCAGAATATTCATCTCTTGTTTCCTCCCAATTCTAAAAACTGTAATTGCTTCTCAATATCTCTTTTTCAAGATGGCGCCGATTATGGCAACACGGTTTCAAGCTCTGGTGATTTTTTTGCCGTGTTTTTGGTGTTCTTACGGCAGGGAACAGCTTGTACCTACAGCTATAGTAGAGAGGAGTTATCGCACCTTCGTTCTGCATCGGGTGAGCTTATTTCTGGTCAAATACAGAGACTAAATTTAATAGAGGGAATTCTACCACCTAGTTCCCCTGACAGCCAGGAGATTCATCGTAGGCGGCGGGGTAGGAGAGGGGGATTGCAAGTCAAATACGTTCACGTGGGACCAAGCTACCTCTGCCCGTATCTACCTTGCCAATGCACAGTCTATACGACACAAAATAACCAGCTTTTAGACTTAATGGATGCCAGGAGGGATTTTAGGGATTGTAATATATTTTGTTTTACGGAAACCTGGCTGGATGACAGCGTACCGGACTCTACCATTACTGCTCCTGGATTTGCGTTCTTTCGAGCGGATAAAGTTTTTGAGGCGGTGAATAAAGCTAAGGGTGGTGGTGTGGACCTTTTAGTCAATAGGTCATGGTGCAGTGTTTGTAAGGTATTGTCTCAGACCTGTACCTTAGATTAACAGACTCCTTCCTACTTGCCAAGGGAATTTCCTTCTATTGTAATTACTGTCACGTACATTCCACCCGATGGAGATGCTAATTCCTCTATTACACAGTTGACATCTATTGTAACGAAAGACCAGAACGATCACTTGACTCCAATACCTATTGTGGCTGGTGACTTTAACCAGGCATCGTTTAAGAAAGCTAAACCATGGTTTTTTCAACATGTCGCCGTGCCCACCCGTGAGGAGGCTATATTGGATCATGTTTATATGCCAATTAAGGGGGCTTATAGGTGCCTCTGGCGTGCACCGTTGGGGGCTTCCGACCACGCGATAATCTATGCTTACTTAATTTACTTAAAGTGTGCTCTAGTCAACTCAGTGGATTTTTTTGCAAAATTTTTAACTGGTCCATGCGTACATGTCACATTCTAACAGTTTTTAAATTTTCTAATATTGTGCCCATACCCAAAAAGAATGTTATTTTGTCACTTAATGATTATCATCCTGTCACACGTACTTCAGTTATTATGAAATGTTTTTAACGTTTAGTTCTAATTTTATGAAATCTGTTTTGCTGAAATCTATGGACCAACAACAGTTTGCTTACCAGTGTAATAGGTCATGTGATGATGCCCTATCATTTACACTTTACAGTGTTTTTCGTCATCTTGATATTAGTGAACCGTCTTATGTTCGATTAGTATTTATTGATTTTAGTTCTGCTTTTAACACCATTCTACCTTATAAGTTGCTCAGTAAATTAGTAAATTTGAATATTTTGCCTCGTGCCCTGTGCCACTGAATATTTGACTTTTTGACGGCTAGGCCTCAGCGAGTAAGAATTGGTAATCATTTTTCTGTAACGAAGTTATTGAATACTGGAGCCCCACAGGGTTGTGTCTTGAGTCCATTGTTATATTCACTGATGATGCATGATTGCATTTCAATTGGTAATAATATAGTAACTAAGTTTGCTGATGACACGACTATAGTGGGCCTGATTCGACGCAGTGACGAAAGTGACTATCGCCGTCAGGTTGGGAGTTCGTGGGGTGGTGCTCAGAGAACAGCCTTGAGTTGAATGTTGTTAAGACCAAGGAGATAACAGCTGATTTTCGTCGGCACAAAACTTCGATTTCTCCTGTGTTTATTGACTCTTTAGAAGTCAAAAGAGTCAATGTTTTTAAGTTCCTGGGCATCCACCTTGCGAGCGACCTGGCATGGTCGGCACAAGTTAACCACCGCGTGAAAAATGCCCAGCAGCAGCTCTTCTTCCTACGTCAAATGAAGAGCTTTGGCTTTGGACAGCGTGTGCTGGTTGATTTTTACCGGTCGGTGGTGGAGAGCATTCTTACCCACTCCATCACGGTCTGGTATGGTGGAACCACGGTGGCCCATCGGACACTCTTACAGCGGGTTGTGAAGACGGCATCCAGGATTGTTGGTCAGCCACTGCCGTCAGTGGATGAAATCTATGTGACGAGGCTACAAAAGAGGGCTGTGGTAATTGCAATGGACAAGTCGCACCCGGGCAATGCTCTGTTCTAATTGCTCCCTTCTAGAAGACGGTACAGAGCTGTAGCTGCCAAAACTAAAAGAGCGATCAGTGGTTTTTATCCTAGTGCTGTGCGGGAGCTAAACAACTCATTGTCGTTACATGTATTGTGGTGTTTTAATGTTTTATGTATATTCTGAATGTATTTTGCTGTATACATGTATACGTATTTTTAATGTTGTATTGTGTTTTGTTTATTTTTTTCTTTAGAAGAGCAAGGACCACTTAATTTCCACCATGTATATTATTTTATATGAGTGACGAATAAACTATGTAATGTATATCTCAACTCATTTCAAAATAATACCACTAGATTTCAGTTTCAGAGCATTGTAATTTTACTGATTTGATCAATCAATTTCATCACTGAATCTATCATTAAGATGGTTTGAATCAGCGGTCATTTGAACGTCATTTTTGTTGTGATTCAAAATGAACTAAAAAAAAAAAAGCTGAAGAAATCTGAAGAAAAAAAGGCATAAACGTTTAGCAATAACTCACTGTTATTTGACTTTCTTTTCTTAATTAGATTATATGAGCTAATGCTTTAAATACAAATTTATATCAATGGCAAAATTAAATGGTTAAATTGGTAAATTGAATGATTTTAAATAAAAAAGTGCAAAACTAAATGGTGAAAACATACATTTTCTTTGTTTAGATTCATAAAATGCAGTAAAGTCAGCAACGATGTTGATGTTGATGTTCAGCAGTTCATAAACTATGAAAATATAATACTATTTAACCCTGGCTATGGGGAATTTTTATGAACAGGGAATCATGGTCCAAACTGTTAAAGTCGTTATGTACAAAGAGGTAAGAGAATTATGCATGTACAGGACAACACCAACACTGCCTATTTTTCTATATTCATGAGTAATCTTTAAGATGGAAGTCGGACAGTCTTTTGGATCCGGACACATATGCTTTATATGCATGGCCGGGGCCTCCAAACTCAGACAAAGAGAACAGGGCCTTGTAACAGAAGACCGTACTCAGAACAAAAGCCCGGGCTGCTGGGAATTACCGACATTTTTTCACTCTCAAAAGTGGAGATAATCCAGCCTTGTTTTGAAACAGTATACCACGGTTTGGGGCATTTAGAGCAAGCGGATTACCACCGGGGACAAAAGCGCTCCACCACCGCAGCAATGAGCCACACAGCACTGCCGCATGCTAATCTGGCCCCTATTGAAAAGAGGCCAGCAGCACACTGAGCCAGGTTCGTGAACAAAAGAAAGTTAAATAACACTGCACAATCTGGGCTCCTTTTACATGGCTGCAGGCCTGGCTGAAATCTTCAGGCGTCAATAGATTTTGTCTGTCAGGCTAGAGTGGCACCAGGCAGTCCTTCACGTGTTTGTAAGTGCCAGGAAATGAAGAAAAAAAGTTTTAAAGAATTTTGAAAACAGAAAAAATGATAAATATCCCCGCCCAGCATAATCAACATTGATAACTGCCCCGGCAGGAAGTGGTTGACCAGGTTTTTCACAACTCAATCACCTGAAATTGGTATTGGAGAATGATAATAGAAGCTATTAGTATGATCAAAATTCTTTAAAATGCTGGTCACTGCCTTGTCTTTATCAGAAAAGTGGTCACATATGCTGAATTGGTACATTTTTAGTGAAACTATTCAAGTCTGGATGTAGGACACTACTGTTAGAAAAATGTTCAGTGTTAATGGAGGGATCATATTCTATAAGTAGGGGAAAGGCTATCTTTATGTCGAAATTTTAGTTCTTCTCCCATTTGTTCTCCCCAAAATCCCACTCACTTTGTGCATGTTTTTTCTACCCTTGACAATAGTCCCTTTTAAAGGTAGCATCTTCATGAAACTTCCCTACAGCAAAGACCTAGCAGCAAAGATGGTCCTCGAAGCATAACATCATGATGACTTTATTACTTGTCACAAGCCCTCAAAGTTGAATTCTTTGAAGGCAAATATCTCCAGAAAGGTATTTCCAATCCAGCTGAATTTTGGTACAGATACAAAGCAAGCTGTATTACAGATGAAAATTGGGGGACATCATGATGACATTATCAACTGATTTCTTACAAGTTTTTGAAACTGTTGTTTTTAACCTTCTTCTCAATATATTCCAAAATTCTTTTTACAGGCGAAGTATATGTTTGGGTTGTTTGAAAAATGTGACCTGACATGGCATAATGAGGAACGATCCCCAAACATGACTTTTTGAGATATGCATATGAGAATAAAGAGAAAAGAATGGGTTTTCTAGTGATACCACATTTATACTCGTTGGCAACTTCGATCCAAAAATACCACGTCAGAAAGACAATGGGAGACATCACTGTGGTCAGTACTATTTTTCGAGAAAAACAGCATTGAAAAAAAGCATGCGCCAGTGCTGCAAACGTTAGCCACGAGGTGTTTTTTTAGCTCCATAATCGTTCTCAATCTAAATGACCACAGCAACATTATATTTATGGGCAGTTATTGCCATGAAATAACAAAGTAAACTGATAGAATGTCTTCAAACATTGTTTCCTGGAAGTTACTTTTTTTTTTTTTTGGAAAAGGAGAAATGGCAGTGGAGTTTCGTTATCATGAATTTCTGTTAACATCGGACGGGTGTAGTGCAAATGAATGGAGTACACAGGTGCATTGGTTCACAAGCCGCTTTTCGCACTAATGCATGCTATACATGCAACTGTGCATGTGACATATTCACAATGTTGGTGCTATAATGTGGCAGGTAGCAATCTTCCATCTACTTGAGTTCTGCTGTCATCAAGATATCTGCATTTCCAGCACCTCTTCAACACCAAACCTCAGCACAGAGTCTTGAGGAAGAACTTGAGGTCCAAGAACTGGTACTGATAAGCTAAACATCATATCACAAGACACAACAATCTAGGCAGACTGCAGACTACAGCACCAACTATTCCCTTGTGTGCAACAAGGTAAATTTACAGCCTACAGGTTCAACCATTATAGGAGGAGAGCTCATGCACCAATCTCAAGCAACACTAATGACTGAAGGAACAAGAACAAGACTTCCAATTAGCCCTGGAAGATGTCAAATTGCTTGCCTCAGGTAGCTAAAACATCAGCCACACCAGACTCAGTTGTCAGCAGTGGTCTGAATACTTCACTCCAAAGAGCAAGTATTGTTAGCCCAATAATAAGCAAAGTATTGACAATGATGAGGCCGACAGTCCTTTGTTATTTGAACAAGACATTCCAGGCTTGGCAATTCTTTCTACACCTTGTCTCTTCTGATGTTTTTGATAAGTTGTCTGGATTGGATTGTTTGAGATGGCTGTGAATCCTTATCCGAACTCTTGTTCCTCTTTGTGATTTGAGACCCTGTGTTTGAGTCAATGTTACACCAGGTTTTTAGCTCTTACTCAGTCCAGCTCAAAGAGCAAGCACAACCATCTGAGTCCTCTTTCTAAGGTACTCAATGTATAAGAAGCAACTTTTATTATGTGCTTGCAAAGTCTTAAACATTCATTTAAGGAGTATATATTTCACTGCCTTCCTGAAGGGCATTAAGAAGATGGACTTTGAAGGGTGCATCCTGACAGGGAGAAGAAGAGTATTGACAACAGGGGAATTCTTTGAAGGAGACAAGAGTAAATTCTCTTTTCTTTTTTTCATCAAAGTTACACTGCTACTGCCCTGTTTCTTTTTTTTTAGACACAGCTTTGCATTTATAATACAACAAGGATCTTTTCAGAGATACATGTACTGAAAAGAAATTTATACAACAGTAAAAAAAAAATGAGGGAAAAACTATACACCTTAACGCAACCCCTCTAAGGTGTATGTAAAATCACACAGAGATTGGAGGATTGAGGACTGTTAGGGACGAAGATAAACAAAATCTGAAGGTAAATGAAGGAAAAGTATTGAGGGAAAGTAGCAAAACAGCATGCAGAAAACTAAGTTTACATGTACTTTGAAAAAAGTTGAATACGTTTGAAAAGTAAAGAATGATACCGGTGAGCTACATGTAGATGGAAGAACATCACGTTTGAATGCACCATACTTACATGTACAATAAGATTTATGGCATCATTCACAAATCTGTCATGGACATGATTTTCTTTTAATTTATAGAAAGATAACTGTACACCTATTAACACTCATTTTTCTGGCAACCCCCTTTCCTCTTATATTTCTGTAAGGGAAAGAGTTCAATATGCTCACCTTCATGGACCTGTCAATACGACCCTTCAATGATCGTGCCCAGTGTGCCTGGCCTGCATACTTTGGCAAGAGGGGTCCAAGACTTTGACTCTTCTTGGTCAGTTCTTTCTTCACTGCATTCAGTTCATCGTTGAAAAGGGCATATACTTCAACTGTCTTCTTGTCAATTGTCCGTCTGATGGCCTATTAAGTATCCAATAATGACACGTACTGTAAGCCACTGTCAAATCTCCTCTATTGTATCTCAGAATTCTACATACCAGTAATATTTATTAAAAACAGTAACACTAATTACAATGCCTTCTCCCTAGACCTTTTTGTTTCAGTTAAAGACATAGTTCAACGATGGAGAACATTTTTCTGAAATACATTTCATGTTGTAGAGTTGACCCATATATATACATGTATGAGAGACAAGGTCTCTATTTTTACAGTGTTTTAAAATTGAAAGGGCAAAAAAAGTTCACGATTGAGGGGGTCTGGAAGTTTCTTTTGGCCATTCTTAAATGTTGTGATGTAATATGCAGGAGTTGGAATACCCACAACTGTTTGTTGCTGTAGCATATACACAATAATGTCAGACTCCAAGCCTAACAGTCCCTGCATTGGTGTTTTTAAAAGTGACACTGATGATCAATCAGTTTCTTCTCGCTCCTGTTATGACTATAATCTGGTCGATGACATAAGCAGCACTGAATCAATTTTGCTATACCAATTTTAGCCCAGAGTTTTGGAATATGTCTTCAACAATGCAGTGATTAGCAATGCTGGTTCGGGAGGACTTGAGACAGCAGAACACCGACAGCCAACAGTATGCTTTAGTATTGGTATTGTGCATTATTACTGCATGGACTGCTGCATGGAGCAGTGTTAAATACCCCGCCAGAACTACTCCCCTGCATCACATCATGATTACGTTTTTCAGGGGATGATGACTTGATAATGATCCAGCCTGGAATATAAGGTTTTAGAATTTTTTTTAATTACCCTTAATGCCTAGCGTGTGTGTAAAATCATATTGAAATCGGAGGATTTGGGACTGTTAGGGCTATGCAATGACAAGAATCATTTTTATTTTTGGCTGAGTATGTTTTCGTTACATATAAGCCAAATATGACACTAAAGTCCTCTATCGTTGAACTACATCCTTAAAAAGCTTTTTGTTCTAAACAATTTTTGTGATATTCACTTTCACACAAAAAATGTTGCCTTTGGAAACACTAAAACCTGTAATGTACTTGCACCTAAAAACAGAAGGGTCGGTTATATCAAAGAGCCTAGTACTGATACAAGTGTAGCAAACAAGTAACAGCATTTTACTATCATTTGTTCTTTTGTCCTTTATATAAGAAAGTGATGCTTGTTAAGCAAAGCTAATGTGGTTAAAGCAACTATAATTGAAGAGACAAGATTGAACAGGCAAAAATAATGTGCAACATGTAACACTATCAATCAATTTTTGGGAGTTCAAATGACCAATTCTGTGGGTCTAAATCTGACAGGAAACCTATCAATGATAATTCATTTCTCCAGAGAAATAGGATCATTCAGATTTTTAAAATCAATATGAAAATCTCATTATTGTATTTTGCCTTTCAAATTTTCTCTTTGTAAGCAAAGCAATTTATCTCAGGTGGAGCATAAATGAAATCAAATCTATAATCAAGTTTGTATGCTAGAGGAGTATGACAAGATTGCTGAGCTTAGTGAGGTGAGAGGACTAGCTTGAATCCAATTATAATATGGGATATTGCAATCAGGGAGGATATTTTTAGTTGGGGTTTTACTGTTCACAATATTATTGTTAAAAAGCACTGCATTACTCTAAGTTACACAAGAACTTTAAAAAAAATTACCAAAAAAATGTTTCCCAACCCAGTGTTTTAAGCAGGATTCAGGAAATTTAACGTGCCTTACAAATAAGTTATGCGACTATGCACATACATGTATACGCATGTATGCAAGTAATGTACAGTATAAGCAAGCATGAGCAACTATACATAGACAAGTACACCATGATCTCACATGTATACATGTACATGTATATGGCAGGTTCCTCAAAATATGGACCATTAGATAATATTAAACTTTGGGGGTTCATTTTTCTTGAAGAGAACAGCAGTGAATTAATTCCCAATGTCTAATGTAATGAGGGAAGTCATGGCTGATATCTGGAACAATGATGACTGTGTCCATCTTTCAACTTAACTGGAGTTAATTAATTAAAGTCTCGAACATCAGCACTTTTGATGGATGAGAAGAACCTGTTGAAATCCTAGCCAATGAAATTTACTGAGGAGTGACAATCCCTATGGTTATTTTACACAGATTTATATGTGGTGAAAGGTGATAATATTTACACATAATGAAACCATAATCACGAAATTAAAAAATACCTCTCACAATTAATCAGGTTCTGAAGTCGGCAGTCGGGAATGTCATTCAATTCTGTCATTAGTGTAAAAAAAATTGACCGCAACAAAAATGCAAGTAAAATCAAATTTGATGTACAACAGAAGCTTTTAAAAAAGTACAAAAAGGTACACCCTAACCATCATCATTTTACGAATGGACCGATCACATTTTCTTCAAGTACTTTTCTGAAAACTGCAGTCCAAAATACCGATCGTGGCGATTTTGCGGCTTCCATCATTATCTCGTGGTGCCGTTATAAGAAACATTTTGCTACATCATGGCCTGTTTGACCTTTGACATCAACCCAGATAGTGCGCCCTCTTTTCCATTCAATATTCATGAGCCCCTCCATAGAATGGCGACGCTCCGGCATATTTCTCTTCGGACCAAGGTTTCTCAAAGGAAAATCAGTCATACTGAATGACATTTTTTTAAAAATGACGTCCAAGACTGAAAATACGATTCATGATGAAAATCTAATGCGCAGGGTTAATAATTTTAATGTTATTTTTCAGTGGGAATATCTCCAAAATAAACGGCAAAATGAACATCCCACATGGAATTTTCAAGCACTACATGAGACAGCATTTTCAGCACTCTTGAACGTCATGCACTTTTTGTCAAAATTTTCGAACATCATCAAAATTCTGTCAAACATGACGTTTGCAACGAACATATTGTACTCATTATACATTTTTGATGCAGCCAAACTTAAAGATAATTTTCAGTGGTTGAGAGGTACATGTATAAGACCTGGCAGATAGGCTGGTATAGTGAGACTGATTATAAACGGCAAAAGAATAAAGACAGCCAAACTTTTCTCATCATTTTCTGTCAATTTTGTGCCAATTTTCTGTCAAGTTATTTCTTCAGTGCTGTAAAATAAATCAGTTGAAAAATATACTGAATTCTCCTTGTGAGAAGTTTTGAAATCAAGTCCTCTGGTGCAAACACTTTGACGTAAAACATTAAATGAATTCAACTCCATTTGATTTGCACTGGTAGCCAACCATATGTCTACCAAATGTACACATTTTGCCTAATTATCCCCAAGTAATCATTTTTTTGAAGGTGCTAATTTGTATTTACATGATCAAGTCACTCTTTTAGAAGTTTTGAAAAATGACAACCGGAGTTGCATTAACTACGTTAATTTCAACAGCTTAGCACCACATGATAAGCCATGATAAAATAAGTAATTTGAATCACTGAAGTGAACACTTTCTTATAACAGGATTATACACAAGTTACATGCATTCTCAGACTGGTTAGAGAACTTGGAGTACAAAACAAGGCAGAGGTAAGAACCAGACAAAATCTGTGCATGAGGTGTGTGCACACAAGCCGCTCAAAGTACAGTGTGTCATGTTACTGTTTATGTATGGTCATGAGCAGTGCTGTGGTGGAGAATTCAACATAGGAGTTTGTACAGTTCTTTTTAAATTTCTCAACAAAATACCAACTTAAACATTGGACTGGATAGAATGTGCAGCAGCATGGCTTTGCAATAATGTTTGCCATACTTCGAAAAAGTGTCAGTGCTTTAAAAACATTGGCCATGCAAAGCATTGCTTCTTTGCTGGCAGCCTATATATGAAAATAAGCCTTCACCCTGATAGTTAACTCTTTTGTGTCAGTCCCAGTCTTGATGAAAATCTCTTAAATGTGAGGACTCAGACTGAAGTAAAGTGGACTACAGTACAGCACTGATTGAGATGGTCTGAGAACTGTTTCTGTCATGAAGGTCTGTCTTTACAAAGGTATCTTTTTTTTTCCACAAGCAATGTTTTAAAACATTGGAACAGCGATTTTAAGAAGTCTCATAAATCTGAACCTACGAAACAGATGAATACTCTTACAACTATTTAACCCCTTGACAACAGGAATTTCTTCCCGAAAGCCGACTCCAAGAATTCCAGCCTCGCTTGGCCACGAAGGCCACCTGCCAAACCGCAAATTCTCGGTTTGTGGCCCTGTGTGCTCTGCACGTTTTGAATTACACGGTGAAAAGGCTGATTGTTCAGTGGCATGCGGCTCTACTCAAGCTTCCACATTCCTGTTGCCTCTTTTCAAAGTGGGGACTATTGTGAAGCTGGTGATTATGATGCAAATTCGGTCTTTTAATTTCTGGGCTACACAGAAAGACCAATCACCATATATCCAAGAGTCAGGGTCTGCCTTTTGTCACCATGTTCGCTCGAGCGTGGGCAAAGAATAATAACTGAAAAGCGGGCTGAGGATCTCAATTTTTACAGCGTGTTTAGCTGCCTCCCAGCGCGAAGGGGTTAACAAAGCCTCATTGAAGATAATTGTTATCCTGCTTGCTCATGGTGCAGTATAGAAAATCTCGCATGTGTGCCCTAAGTCTCAATGTGAGAAAAGTTACCGCTGTGGTGTCTTACACTGAGTATAGTAATCTTGGACTTTTATTTTGACTTTTTACATGCACGCTCAAGTTTTTTTCAAGTGTTATCAATGTTTACACTGTTCAAACTATGTTAAGAAGAATTTGTAAGTGTATCAAAAAAAATGGACTTTCCAATAACATAAACAGTTTCTTTATCTTGTTTAACACACCTCTCTAGAGGACAGATGTTGAAATGCATCCAGTAACTCCACTCCTTGCTCCACGGTGTTGATGGTCTCAAATGCAGTTGAGATGACGTTTTGCATCATCACCTCTAAATCTTTGATGCCAGTTCGGAACCTGCCACACCATAAGATACATGTATATACACAAATTGTTAAAAACCAAATGATATATTTTTCAACCAATCAAATTTGTCTGGGAACGATGATCTTTCTTAACCAGCACTCTTTCACAGTTACAAATGTAAACTCTATTTGGCATATTGGACCAACCAGACACATAACTGAATCATCAATAGTTTCCATGGAGTTGTTAACAGGGTGGCAAAGCACAGGAAGGAGGGTGGGCTTAAATCAGCATGACTGGTAACAACTCTGGCATCAATTAACTACACAATTTCCCAGCCCACATACATGTACACCTGCAAAGGCTATGTATTCCGATGTACAGCCTATTATTTGTTATTTGTGCATTGTGTTCCTCTGATGCAAAAGACTTACTCAAAATCTAAAAAAGGGTGCCTAAGAACAAACCTGAAGTTTCAGCTTAGTAATACTGTATATTCTGAAGAAGTAATATTCTAGTATTTCAACGTCAGATCAAAACTTGCTCAGTCATATTTTATATAGCACCAGAATTTAGTGACTAAGACAAGTTCTCATGTTCAGTTAAATGAAGCTACATGTCACACACTAAATCAATAAACAGTAACCACGCACGTGCGCAAACTTCTAATAGACATTTTCGAAAGTGTTTTTAGACACATTGTCTGAAATGGCCTTCTGTAATTGTTTTCTTCAAAATGACAGCTCGCCAGCAAGAATGATTTCACAGGGTTAACTCCCTGTGAAATAACCACATTTTAACCAAGTATGCATTTCAAAAATTATTTTATCAGTTACTTTTGGATAACTGCAAAATAATAATTGTACCAATATTTTATATGTTAGACCAAAGAAAATGTTTCTGTGTTGATGGAAGCAAACTCCGAACACAAAATAGTTCCCTTTTCGGAACCATGTAGAACCCCACAGTACACTTTAGAATTTTGCAATAATGTGCAAAATCAAAATGAATAGCCTGCTGTTCTGAGCGAAAAGTACTGCATCCTTCATAACAAGTGGGAGGGATGCACTGAGTAGATATCCCTTTCACTGTTCTCCAATGAAAAGTGGTGATTCACTTTAAATTTCTGGAACCTTCTTTTTGATAAAGAGTGCTGTGAATTTGTAAAAACAGAAAAAAGATTAGCTGACAACAGAAAACTACGATGCCTTGTCTCATTTTTGCCTTAAAATGTAAGAGACTTCAAATTATTTTTCTTTTATAATTTCATTTTGAAGTTAAACATAGGCTTTAGTAGGCCATTTTATTGGAATGAGTGCCCAAGGGATGGTCATTCAAAGGATACATGCAAAACATTGACACTGCTGGCATTTGCACAATAGCTTTGCCAACCATTAATATGATGCAAATAGAGCTTCCAGAATCTTTTGAATAGAAAAAGTATGCTAAAAAAATCAGAATTTGTTGCATCTGCTCCCGTTCATCTGCTTCTTAAAAGGAATCACCTCCTGGAAAGTCCCTGGAAAGTACATGTATTTTCTAGCACATTTCTGAAAACCTGCCTGATCTGAGAGAGATATGATGCAAAACACTGATGTCTATTAAACTTCCAAATATCTAAAATACATGACAACTTGCACAACTCTGTTATCAGCAACATTTTTTTTTTCATTATTTCCTTTTCAAAAGAAAGATTTAGGGTCAGCACGATTTGCTACGTTTGGGCAGGTAACCAGAAGCACAACTATTATTTTATTTGGCCCTTTCAAATTTTCTTTCATGCCCTTTGCCATTTGCTAAAGGGTGCACCCTTGCAAAAAGGCCCTAAATAAGTCTGCCGAGCTCATTACTAAAAGATATACACTCAAAAAATATTCTATATTAGAGAGTCCTGCGAGCCATGAAATTGAGAAATTGGAGAAATATGGCACTGAACCCCTAGCCCTGACTTTGGGCTTCAAATTCTGAGCAATTTGGATGCAGTCGGGTCCAAAAATGGCACTATTTAGCCATTTTGCAGAGGGATGGTTTTTCAAAATGGCTACTTTTCTGGGCAGGGACATTTTCTTCATTTTCGGGGTGGTCTGCTTCTGGTGAACATTTCTCAAAAATTTATCAGTCAACCCCCCAAAAATTGAAAGGAAAATGAAAGGGGACATGTCGATCATTGTATTTCTGTGCAGCCTAGACACCTGTGAGAGTTGTGAGTATTTTTAAAATAATTGCGAAGTGTGGGGATTTATCATTGCTGTCTATAGGAATTTATTTGTAGCGGTGCACCCTAAAAACTTGATAAACTGTAGTGTACCGTCTAGTGCTACGTCACGGGGCAACACCGCCGTCATGTTTGTCCTTCTTTTTCAGAGTGCAAAGTCTGAGCCAGAGTGGGGAGGACGGGTGGGCGCCAACTGTTTGGGTACGTATTCCCTTGCAGACCCTCCCACATGACTGAGGGGAAGAGTTCACTGCGCTCATCCTACCCAAAACAGTTGATACTTAACAGAGCAGCACTATACCTTGGAGGAAGGTTGGCAAAAACGCACTGAATGTGAAGAAATATGTGAGTGGTGTCTGGAATGTCTCAAAGATAAAAGGGGGAATGTTGAGGACTCATCGAAAGGAGGAGGAAACCAAAAGATAAATCTAGAGGTTGCCCACCCCAGTGAAGGTCCTTAAGATCTCAGTGCAGAGAATAGGATAGTCTTCCCATGGGAGAAGTCTCTTCGCAAGACACTGCTTAGGAAGCATGAGGTGAATGTTGAGAGTGTTTCCCAGCATGCTGCCCTGTAGATATCCTCCGTTTGGACACCATCGAAGAACGCCTAAAAGGTACATGTAGATACCGCCCTGATGTAATGAGCTATAATAGGGCAACCAGGTTTTAATATCTAAATAAGTTGGCCATTCAGGATTGGCGAACTTGATGGCTGAAACAACCCATCTAGCCATAGTTTTGCTGCTTGCTGGCCAATGAGGTTTACTGACAAGCATGCAACTTGGACTTTGACAAAAATGAGGAAATTCCAATCGTTACAAGACTTAGTACAGTGTACAGCAAAAAAACGAGGAAATCAGCCAATGTACTGAAGTAATGAAAGAAGTTGAGAGGTTGTACCTCTCATTTTCTGAGACCTGGTCAATCACAGTTTGAGCATGGTTCAAACAAGACAGCACAGCTTGTTGTTGGGAGAACCGGAGTGCTTTGTGATGTCAGGAACGAAGATGTTTTGTGCTGGAACAATTCCGATCGGATCTTCATGCCGACGCCCAGGGCTGGGATGGAGCACATGCCATTGGGCACCCATTTGATGAGTCTATCTGTGATGGAAAATGTCCACAGTTCACTGCCTCGGCGTGAAGTGGTTAGAAGTCATCTCAAATCTTGTCTGGGAAAAGTTGAGGACAACTGCGGAAGAGTGTTGCAGCAAAATGTTGAAGGTTCCTGGAAAACTTCCCCGCAATCTTCCCGGAATGAAGTTATTAGCATTTGTATGCACAATCTCTCCCCCTTCCCATTTGCAGTTTTGGTCAGGCAAGCCATACAAGGACACCTATGGTTTGGGTAACAGAAGAGCCACAGCCAAAGGACTGCAAATTTACTCACTCACTCCTTACTGAGAGATTTGTGAAACTCGGAATAAATACTTTGGCAATATACAAAGTTTTTTATGTTTTTTCTCCGGCTGGACAGCTATGGTTTTACTTCAGGCAAATATACCTTTATTTGCATTTAATCTGGCAATAAAGCGAAGTTTGAAACCTTTCAGTTCTTCCAGTATTGAATTCAGAATTGAATGGATATAACCATGGAGGTATGCGGGAAAACAAGGGGCAGAGATAACACAACATAAGAATTTAATGAGTGAGTGAAGCAAATTCAGAGGGAACTCCAATGTTCCCATTGGACTTCTTACAGTGACTTTCTTGTAGAATTACAAAATTAAATCCAATGGGAACCTATGGTAAACTAATGTCCCTGTTGACTTACCACGATTGCGATGTAAACTAACAGGCCGAAAAGGGTCCCGGAAGATTTCCACGCAGCCACGGTAAGTTCGTAAGGGTGCAAAAAAGTCCAATGGGAACAGTTCCCATACAATGGACACTGACCACGACCACGCTTAACATACAAACCAGACTACTGCCTACACAGAGATCGATAGCATGCACGCGAAAATGGTTGTTTTTTTCCCTGTCTCCAGCTCCATGCGTGTAGTACAGCAGCATGCTGCGCACACACAGTGAAGTGTGCCTGGATAAAGCTATATACTCTTGTGTACAGAGTTTTTCTGTTTGGGTTTGTCTTCCTTGTGGCAGATTTGGCCAGATTCTGCTGATTTCGTTATGATTTGTACAGCATGGACAATGTAATCAGTTGGTTTTATTAGGCCTAACACTGTGAATAAACATTCGGTTACAGTTTTAAAAAAGTCAATGTGGGAAAGCCCGGTAGACTGACACAAAGGAATGTCTTGGTAAGTTACCGCATGCCCCGAAAACTCAACAAAAACAACAGAAATCCACTAAAAAAATCCAGAGATTTCACACCCCTGTGAGAGAGTGAAACCATCAGGGAAGATCACTACAAATAGCTGTGACAGCAAGACGGGATTGCATATGGTTGCTAACGGCAGTCACAAGTTTAAATAGGCACAAGAAAAGGCGCCCCATTTGGGCCACACCTTGTCCTTAACACCACAACGTAAAAGTTGTTTTCTGCTGGTGCTGACTTGCATTAACAGTCTGGTCAATCGGGGCATGAGGGCTAGTTAGGCCAGAATGGGGCAATGAGAAGAATATGGCCAAAGCTCCCGTTTGATCTTGACAAAACTGCTGGGATTTGGAGTAATGGAAAGAAAGCGCATTGGCAAGTAACCCTTCCTAGCTGATACAGCTAAATGGCATCTGCCACTCAGACCTCCAAGAGAGGAATTCTGGCACAGAACACTAGCAGCTGAGCACTCTCTGCCAAGGCAAAGAGATCAATACATAGATTGTTGAGCACCTTGAAGATTGAATTAGACACAATATGATGCAGAGTCCAGAGTGCAGAGAACAAAGAGGTGGTTGCTTGTGCACAGAGTTGTCTGATCCTGCGCTGACAGCCAATGCGTGTCCACATTGGACAGGTGAGGGTCAGGATCCAAAGCTGTAATGGGGATGTAGGCTTCAGATCAAGGGGGCTGACTAATGAAGAGAACGTCTCAGAGACGGACTGGAAAGCTGAGATGATAGCCAAAGAAGATGCATCATGATGTCTAGAGGAATGCAACTTCTTGCTATAGTAAAACCAGCAGAAGACCTAGAACGCTTACATTTCTCACACAAGAGAGAATCTGGAAGAGTTCGCAGACAGAGCCGGACGGGCAGAAGCCACGGCAGAATTTTCATTCTGCGGTTCATGGTCTGGAGAAGGCTGTATGTGATGATCCACAGTGATAGTAAACTTGGAAGCAATCTTCCAGAGAGCCCCAATTAGGAACCGAAGGATGGAATGAAGTGGGGCATGTGAGAATCCATGGTGGCATAGAAGTACAGTGGGTTTGGATGCCTGGGGAGGTGGACTGGAGAGATGCAATAGTGGATCTGCATTCTAATGGCACATTCACCAGGGTAAGGCCAGAAAATAATGGGGAAAGGGCCCAGGAAGCACAATTGTCTGGTTCATGCCTGGGTGCCTCCATTGACGTGGTCTTGGATGATGGACAGTTGTTTGGGTTAGCGGATGAGACGTGGGCTCGCCTCCCCACTGGTCTAGCTGAGTCTACTGGTGGCAGTGTGGGTCATCTCAGTAGACTACAATGGACATGTGACAGGGTATCCGATGGCGCATTCACTCTGGGAGCGCCAAGGGGAGTTGGTCCGGGAAGTGCTGTTGCCTGGTTGATACCTGAAGAAGACTCGGATGCTGGTGGACTTAGGCATGTAGTGGCTGCCTGGGTCAGCGAGTGAGATGTGGACTAGCCTCCCTGCGGGTCTCAGTGAACCTACCAGTGGCAGATTGGCATGCCTCGGCAGGCTGTGGTGGAGATGCGACAGCGGATCCATATTTCGACAGTGCATTCACCAGGGCAGCCCCAGAGAGTGACGGGGAGTCGGCCCAGGAATCGAAGTTGTCCGGTTCACGCCTGGGTGCCCCAAATGAAGAGACTTTGGTTGCCGGTAGGCTTAGGCATGTAGCAGCCACTTGGGTTGGCGGATGAGGCGTGTGCATTATTGTGACTGATTTTGTTTATGGTTTGTTCATCAAGAATCTGCCAGCCGGTAGTCAAAGCAAATAATTCATTATTCAAATATGACTGAATATTCTATCAGATTAAAGGACAAATATTCAAATAGTGAATTATTCAATTTGATTCAGCCCTATTACTGTAACATTTTACTGTCAAGCTCCATAGAGCCAAACAAGAATGGCAATGGTACACTGACAGCATAATAGGCCTCATGACTCACAGCAAGTTAACATGAGGTCCATTTGGAAACAGCTTGTATAGGGGTAATTCCAGACATCAGGGATCCAAAAGTATGACATTTTTGTGTCCGTTACATCTTACCTTTGTTATCACACATGGAAATGTCACCAGAATTGATTTCAAACTATTACTATTTGTTTGGCAGGTAATTTGTATTAATTCACTCTTGGAAATCAGAAAATGTGTTCTGAACTTACAAACTCATACGTCAGATGTAACAGGGACACAAAAAATGGACCCCTAATTTCTGGAATTACCCATATTCTAAAATGTAACACTTAATTTAAGTAATAATTTGAAAAAAAATATCTTGAAGACCTGTCAAGTATACTCCGCCATCAAGACACATACATGAATACAACTTTAGGCACACTCATGTACTGGTTATCTTCGGTTTCTTCTCAAGTCTGCAGCTTGGGATTTCTTCTCTGTATACATGTAAATGTATACAGTCTTTGAACTGACAAGCACCATCTCTCATATACAAAGATGACCATACTATCATTTAAGTAAATCATTAACTACACAAGCCTGCTTCTTCAATAAATGTTAAACTATTCCCAGGCATATGTCAAGAGTAATCCCACGTAAAATTATGCACCTTTGTGTACACATTTGTATGCGTGAAACACGATTAATAGCAAGACTGTGGAATACAACTGTTTGTCAACCACGAGAAAAGTGACAAATTACAAGATATGATCCCGTGTTGTTAGAGAAACAGCTTCCTGCAATGGTAATTAAGATTTTGGAAAAAATATAAATTTGACTGGTATAGACAAACCTGTTATAATCATCATGCCATGTAGTTGCCTTGACATCTAGAATAGTCTTCCTGACGCCACTCAAAACAGCCAGGTTTGCATCAAAAGCACTCTCGATCTCCAGTAGACTGCGAGTGATTTCTGGCCCTCTCTGTCCAGCAAAACAAGGTAGTGGGGTCTTGTTGCCATCTTCCCAACGGGCAAAATGAATTTGGCATTCACACACCTGAGGTATTCATCAAGAGAAACTGAGCAACAAATTGTGCAACTGCTGACATAGGCAGTAAAGAGGGCAAAAATGCAATATTCCAGTAAAATCATCATAATGTGACCTCAATTTTCATGTAATCCTCATCTACATATATACAAAAATGGACGGGCTCAGGGTTCTAATACTTTTAAGATGTTAAAGTATACACCTTAAGATGGCATTACGTGACCCCTCATGACATCATCATCATCTACAACACATTCCTGTTTACATACATACAAATATGGAACCCAATCAGACTCAAAGTTCTCTAGACACAGAACATTCAAGTACGAACCTTTACGATGATATATGCACCTTAAAGATGATGTCAAGTGACTTGGGATAACGTCATCAAGACTTCAAACCAATTTTCACCTAAATCACATCCTTCTTTAAGTCTACAATGGATGCCAAGTTTAATCCAAGTTAGACACATGGTTCTAAAGATATTGCCCCGCAAGAATTCAACTTTGCAGGCATGTCAAGTGACCTCTGATGATATGCCATTGTGACAGAGCTGTTCTGGAACAATCCACACATAAAAGTCGTTCCTTGGTACAATCACTGGAGATAACAGATTGCACTCACCAAAGTGCCCCATACAAAACTGTAAACAAAGTCACTGAGTTTTTCAATAAATATTTCAATTAATAATCATGTCATCACGACGAGATTTCACAAACTAAAACCAATACTTTCAAAGCTCAAAGCTCAACCAATATGTAATAAAAACTGTGAAAATTTGATGATGTCAATTGTCATTATGATGTCAAAAATTTTCAAAACTATCCAGACATCTAGACATACTTGGCCTATCAAAGGTCTTGCAACAGGACATAGAACATACGTCAAAAGGAATGCCAAAGTACAAGAACTGTGTTTGTGTACAAACACTGAGCTGTTTTGGCAATGATTTCAGTAAATCTACAAACCTACCCATGTAAGCACTTACCAGGTTTCAACCAAATCAGACATGTACATATACTTTGGAAGAGATATCTTCAAAGTTGCACTTTCAATGTAATGGCACGAGAAAAACTGCAACTTTAATCTTACATGTTTGTCACAAGACCCCTGATGATGTCACGGTGACTATTTTTTCTGACACCCTCTTGAATTGTTGGACTAAGCCACTTAAAGTCACTTTGAAGGATGAGTGCCTGAGTCTGTGACATTAGAAAAACACACAAAAAACCTGCAAAAAAAACTACATATACATGTATGGTGATCATGGTGAACAGACGTCTGACAATGCTCTGAGTTTTACAACCAAGATTGATGTTAAGTTGAAGAATGTGCTACTTAAAGTCAAGCAAGCACCAAATGAACAAATAAAACCACTGCTGGTCAATGACTTTGATCTGGAGGGTCTACTTAACATGAGGAAAGCTGTCTTTGAATCCACTAAAGAAAAATGTGTTCGCAATGATCAGATCCAAGATGGCGACACAGCTATTACAGGTATGCTAAAGGCACATAGATCTGCTGAGGGAGTAGCTGATGATACAAGGGATCTTTACCGTTTCGTGTTTAATCACCGACCAAACCTTCCTAAGGCCTTTTTGAGCAACAACAGTAATAATTCCAAGGTTAAATCAATGTTAAAAACTGTCACCTCTGACAAAGACGCCATGAAATCTACGAGCCATCCAGGAGCAAACACAATGTCGGTTCCTACACATCTCAGAATGAGAAAATTCTATCGGCGATTAATCAGATATAGCAAGATATAATAGCCCTAGATTTAAAATTTTCAAGCCAAATCTCAACAGTTTTTGATAAAGTAAAGGTGGACAATCCTGATAAAGATCAACTACAAGATCTAAAAGACAAAACTGTAGCATTCAAGCAACCATTGACATGCTAATAAGAACCAATGAAGACAAAACCAACATTAACAATGCCTCGAGCGCATCTTCAATAATCAACCACTGTCCAGAGCCAGTGCCCTCCACATGCCAACCACAAACCGCTTTTCAACATTGTTGGAATGCAGTGAAGCTGATAC